CACTTTCTTAAGGCCCTGGACACAGTCTCTGATTATTTGGGAGTTGGCTTATTATTCATTGTATCCATGCAGGCACAGTGGGCCAATCCCTGCTTCATTCCTGTGATACCCAGTTATAGTAACTGTTTCTTTTATGTGTAGTTAAATTAGAAGTTGAATGAGTTGTGGAGTTAATGATGTAGCTGTCCAGTTTACAATTGGGAGTAAAAAAGACTGAGGCTTTAATCAGCTAGTCTAATACTGGATAAACCACTGGTTCCCAACTGCTGGTCCAACAATTATGAGTCCTTTTTAAAGACACAGATTCCTAGTTCTGTCCATGGAGATTCTCATTCACTGTGTCCTGGAGTAGACTCTAGGAATCATCCATTTTCGGAAGTTCCATGGGAGATTCTGGTGCATGGATAATTGAGTGCATGCCCAAAGGAATGATTGTGCTTCTTAATGATAACATTTTCCATCTCTGTTGGTGTCTCAGATGATTCTGAAATGCGTTTACGATCATCTTAAATGGAATATATTTTTCTGAACATTCTGGGCTGTGTGAGAGCAGGAACATCAGGCTGGCAGTTGGAGCCCTGGTTCTTGCCTCTGTGTGGATGTTTTATCAAGCTGGAGGTATTTGGTCTGTTTACCTGTCAGTCTCAGTCACAAATGGAGGGCACGAGGTTCCCCAAGGTACTTTTGGGATTTCTGACATTCTTTGATTTGGAAGATTTTGCCCTCCTAGGAGTTGTCTTCATCATCACTGTTCACTGAGGGCTGCTGCCTCTCCTGGTTCAGTGAGCGCTGAGCTGCTCAGAGCATTGATCACAGCCTGCGTCTCAGGAAAGCTGGCAGCTGTCGTCCCCATATCCAGAACCACCTCTCTTCCTTTCTCCTGTCACTGCGTGTTACTGAGTCCAAGTTTGCTCTGCTCACCGCACGACAGGCTAATGAATCCGAGAGACGAGGTGTTGAAGCAAGGGATACGACTTTATTCAGAAAGCCAGCTGATCGAGAAGTTGGCAGGCTAATGTCTCAGCATAACCATCTTGTTGGGGTCTTGATGCCAGGTTCTTTTATGGATCAGAGATGGGGAGGGAAATGAGGAAACATACAGGCCATTAACCTTGAAGAGATCTCCTGGAATGGCAGCCTCTGGCAGGGGGGTGTGTTAGTTCCTTCCTTCTTCCCATCTACAGGTGGACAGGGTTCTGACCAAAGGCACTTTAACAGTCAAGCAGAAAGGCAGGATTCTCTGAGGCAGGCCATTATGTATGATTATAACAAAAGCAATGGAGACCAAGTCAAAGAAATAATTCCAGCATGGAGTCAGAATTGACTTCTCCCTTCAACATATCCACTTCCCCAAACAGACAAAAGTAAACTGTCCTGCTGGGAAGCAAGTTCTTATGTTGAGGTTTCTCTTAAGGAAAATTCAAGTTGTAATGCTGACTTTTTATATACCAAGTCTTGCAAGTTTTTACCAGCTGGGCTTTTTTTGCAGACTAGGAACCCTTGTGTCTTTGAGCACAAGATGTGACTGATGTCATGGTCTAGAGAGCTGATCCTGCGCTTCCATATCCCCTTCAATAAGCCTTAGTTTCCCGGAACTTGTAGCATATGCTCTAGAGAGTCTAGTGGGCCCCAGGGCAGAATGTGACTTCCTTTAAATCTCTGGTTCTCAGCCTTTGCAGAACATCAGAATGGTCTCTAGTGCTTTTCAAATGTACCCACCCATGTCACCTCAGCGCTGCCTGGGCCTCCTGACTTGGGCTTTCTAGGGTGGGATTGGACACACATGTATATCTTCTAAAGGCTTCACTTTAAACTCTCCCTTCTGGAGCCTTCTTCTCTTCATTCTGATCTGGGCCATGCACATTTCCTCTGTCTTCTGTAATTATTTTTTGTTAAAGTGGGTATAGATAAATGGGGAGTTGTCATCGGAATATAGTAAGCTGTGGTCTAGTCTGCTGAAAAAATTAACTTACTCTGAGAATAGAAGTTTTTCAGAGCGTAGGGAGTCTAGTGAGCATTCCTAGCACACAGTTAAGGCACAGGAACCACTACTAAAGATTAACCCTTGTCCCTGTCTACAGAGGTCTGAAGGTTCTTTTTTTTATTATAAAATATCATGGGGAACAATAGTAGATCATTCACCCTTTCATTAAGAATATTTTAACATAATATCTTGTTTATCCTTTTTTCAGTGCAATTCAGCAAATATTGAGAATTTACAACATGCTAAGCTCTGTTCTAGATGCTGAGGATAGAGTAGGGAGCACAACATAATATTCCTGCCTTCATTGGACACACTCTTCACCAAAGTGTGTATGTGTGTGTGTACATGCGTGGAATTTAACATGACAGAATTAACTGGCTGTATTATAGCATTATGAAATGTCATTTTAGGAGAAATCTTTAGGATTGGCCTGGTTATTTCTAAGATCACAAAGGGAATCAGAAAACTAATCATGTGAAACCTGAGTTAAATTCACAAAATATTAATACCAGAGACTGTCTTACTATCAACAAGGAGCCCATGGGTGTTCAGGTAACAGTTTTCTCAAGGTGTAAGGAAATAAACTAGTGGATTTAGGACTTTGCTCCAAAAACAAAAAGGCAGACAAGGACACTGAAAGAATTAAAGTTCATCTTTTGATTTTGGGCATAAGTCTCCAGGTTGTTGTCATTTGATACAAATCTTTCTTTGACTGTGTTTTTAGCTCCATGTTTAATTCCCCGTATATGCAACCCACTCCAGTGTTCTTGCCTGGAGAATCCCAGAGACGGGGGAGCCTGGTGGGCTGCTGTCTATGGGGTCGCACAGAGTCAGACACAACTGAAGCGACTTAACAGCAGCAGCAGCAGCATATGCAAAATACATTGGGACTTTGGAGTTCACAGTATTTTATCTGCTTATTTCACCTGTTCAGCAGAAGCATTCATTCGAGCTGAATGCATGTATTTCAGGCCTCCTCTGGAATGCTGCTTCACAAATGATAATAAGCCTTAGTTTCCCGGAACTTGTAGCATATGCTCTAGAGAGTCTAGTGGGCCCCAGGGCAGAATGTGACTTCCTTTAAATCTCTGGTTCTCAGCCTTTGCAGAACATCAGAATGGTCTCTAGTGCTTTTCAAATGTACCCACCCATGTCACCTCAGCGCTGCCTGGGCCTCCTGACTTGGGCTTTCTAGGGTGGGATTGGACACACATGTATGTCTTCTAAAGGCTTCACTTTAAACTCTCCCTTCTGGAGCCTTCTTCTCTTCATTCTGATCTGGGCCATGCACATTTCCTCTGTCTTCTGTAATTATTTTTTGTTAAAGTGGGTATAGATAAATGGGGAGTTGTCATCGGAATATAGTAAGCTGTGGTCTAGTCTGCTGAAAAAATTAACTTACTCTGAGAATAGAAGTTTTTCAGAGCGTAGGGAGTCTAGTGAGCATTCCTAGCACACAGTTAAGGCACAGGAACCACTACTAAAGATTAACCCTTGTCCCTGTCTACAGAGGTCTGAAGGTTCTTTTTTTTATTATAAAATATCATGGGGAACAATAGTAGATCATTCACCCTTTCATTAAGAATATTTTAACATAATATCTTGTTTATCCTTTTTTCAGTGCAATTCAGCAAATATTGAGAATTTACAACATGCTAAGCTCTGTTCTAGATGCTGAGGATAGAGTAGGGAGCACAACATAATATTCCTGCCTTCATTGGACACACTCTTCACCAAAGTGTGTATGTGTGTGTGTACATGCGTGGAATTTAACATGACAGAATTAACTGGCTGTATTATAGCATTATGAAATGTCATTTTAGGAGAAATCTTTAGGATTGGCCTGGTTATTTCTAAGATCACAAAGGGAATCAGAAAACTAATCATGTGAAACCTGAGTTAAATTCACAAAATATTAATACCAGAGACTGTCTTACTATCAACAAGGAGCCCATGGGTGTTCAGGTAACAGTTTTCTCAAGGTGTAAGGAAATAAACTAGTGGATTTAGGACTTTGCTCCAAAAACAAAAAGGCAGACAAGGACACTGAAAGAATTAAAGTTCATCTTTTGATTTTGGGCATAAGTCTCCAGGTTGTTGTCATTTGATACAAATCTTTCTTTGACTGTGTTTTTAGCTCCATGTTTAATTCCCCGTATATGCAACCCACTCCAGTGTTCTTGCCTGGAGAATCCCAGAGACGGGGGAGCCTGGTGGGCTGCTGTCTATGGGGTCGCACAGAGTCAGACACAACTGAAGCGACTTAACAGCAGCAGCAGCAGCATATGCAAAATACATTGGGACTTTGGAGTTCACAGTATTTTATCTGCTTATTTCACCTGTTCAGCAGAAGCATTCATTCGAGCTGAATGCATGTATTTCAGGCCTCCTCTGGAATGCTGCTTCACAAATGACTGCAAAATTCTGTCCTCATCTTGAAGGAATTAGATAGCTTCCCAAATTTTTATTTTGTAGTTTATGCTTAAAATTATTATGACAGAAATAAAATTGTAAAGCAATATTGTAAAGCAATCATCAATCAATTAAAAATAAATACAAATAGTTATTAGACTTGTTAGACATGATATGCACTTTTTGAACCTGCTTCTCAAGGAATTTAAATACAAAATTATGAAAAATCCGTTAGTGTGTCTGTTTCAAAAGTACCTTTGTAAAAAGGAAAAGTGTGGTCATTTTTTAAGAAAACCATAACCAACATTCTGGGATTGTGAATGCCAGCTAAAAAGATGCGACAAAAAAGTGACCAGTGAAAGAAGAGCACATTTGGTATGGATTTCAAGCCATCAAGAGAACATGTCAGAGAAACAGAGGATGAGCTTTGGTGCTGGCTCATGTTGCTGCTTGTGCATTAACTAACAGGAGAGAAGTAAATAGCGTGTGAGAGGGGGATAAAATAGACGTTCTGGAAATAATTATTAGTGCTAAAATTTCTGCATCTAATTTTGGAGTGCTTACATTTGGAATTTCACATGCACAATGATAATGTGTGTTTCAGGTTTGTGGAGAAAAACAACGCTTTGAGAAGTTGATGGAACATTTCAGGAATGAGGACAATAACATAGATTTTATGGTGAGTTATTTCAGTGCTACATTTAATAAAGCCAACTCAGATCTAGCAGTTATTTCCTAAATCCACTTATATTTATATATTATATATAGATCTGTATTATAATGTTACAAAGGATAGGAAACAGTTTTATATGCTATAGATTCAAATTTGACTTGCTCTCTTCATCTGTATTTGACCTTTTTGGCATTTATCTCAGGTTTTTTTTTCTATCAAAATTATTTATTGGTTACAGTGCTTTTGTTGACCTTTGAACAATGCAGGGAGTTGGGGGCTCCAACCCTCCCCACAGTGGAAAACCCTCCTGTTAACTTACAGTGGTTATGTGGTTACTCTGGTTACGTGGTTTCACGTCTGCAGGTTCAATCAACTGTGGGTCATGTAGTACCTAGTCTTCATTATTGAAAAAAATTTGACCTGCACAGTTCAAACGCATCTTGTTCAAGAATCAGCTGTGTTTTAGCAGATAAAGGGGGAAGCCACGCATTTGTGAAAAGAAAGTTAACAGCTGGCACAAATGCCAGCAGGAGCCAGCTTGAGCAGTCAATGGTGGTGATGGTTTAGTCGCTAAGTTATGTCCGACTCTTGTGACTCCATGGACAGTAGCCCACCAGGCTCCTCTGTCCATGGGATTTTCCAGGCAAGAATACTGCAGTGGGTTGCCATTTCCTTCTCCATGGGATCTTCCCCACCCAGGGATTGAACCTGGGTCTCCTGCCCTGCAGGGAGATTCTTTACCGACTGAGCTACCAGGGAAGCCCTGAGAAGTCAATAGTACTGCATAAGAATCCTTAAAGTAGAAACCAAGAGTGTTGGATCATTGTGCCTTTTGCACACCCCATCCAGTGGCCTTCTCCAGACTGTTCTCCAAGACTGAAGTGCTTTGATTTGTAGACCTGGTAGTATATATCCCCCAAATGAACACACAGCAGTGATTTTGTGTTTCCCTCACTTGATTACCAGCTCTAGTAATTCTCTGAGGGCACAGTGGTATTGCACCTCTCCTTAGTGGAGTAAATCACATGTAAGCTCATGTGATTCAGCATCATAACTATCATCCTCAGGGACAAAAAGCAAAAGATTCTGAGCACCTCTGAATCTGTGTACCTAAGTCTTAATCATGAACTGAAGGTAGACTCCACTATAGAGGATTTCCAGAGCCAGGTCACACCTGAGTATACCCAGTCTAGTTTGACCCAGTCTAGTTGACCTCGGGATCTTCTGGACCCAGGAGTTCTTTTACTGGGGCTTAATTTCCCAGATCCCATCTAGTCTGGGGCAGATAGCCTGTTCACTTCTTCTGTTGTCAAGTTTTCCAAAATCTGTGCTTATGATGCTAGGCAGTTTTCATTTGAATTGCTTCAGTGCTTATAAAACATTGGCTGTAGCTTTGCAGATTTCTAACCCTTTTTATATGAAAGATGTTTTCTGGGTCTTAAAATTTCATGTGTTATCCTAATTCTTGGCCCTTTCCCAAAACATATTGGTTGAAGTCTTTTATAGAGGTTTTCTGCTCCATAAAGCATATGTATATATACTTTTAAAAAAAGGTAGAACAATAAATTTGAAAGAAGGAATACATTTACCCTGACTTTTTAAGTTCTTGTTGTTTGGATTTTTGTTGGAGTGTTTAAGGCCCTGGTGACAAAGATGTAAAGAAGCCGTGCCCTTGCTCACCTGACCAGGTTCTTTTCTCTGCCTTCGTAGGAGGAATTTGTTCATTCCTTTAGGGTTGAGATTGCAAACTGGAGGCTCCAGGCTGAAGCCAGCATACATACAGGCTTGTGAGTTTAGTCTGACAGTGATGTCCTTCCATCAAAAAAGTTGGAAATTGGGCCTAAAAATACAGATTTGTAGATTTTCCTGAGAATTAATTAAGTTCTGGTAATGCTTGGTCCCTGTTCTTACAGAGTATAAGCTGCTGGCACTAAGTAGTCCCTATTCCTTAAGTTTGAAGGTAACTGTGACAGTTTGTTACAGTCCACACCATTCCTTATTGTATTACACATGACCCACTTCACTCATTTATCATACATACCAGATCCCTCTGCCATTTGAGTTTCTACTGAATTTATAAATGGTGTTAAGCCCTTTAGAACACCTGCACTGTTGACAAATGAGAGCATATTACCTGTCAGTTCATTTATTCACACATATATATGCATTGGGAGTCTTATTTAAATGCTGCTAGTATATCAGTACTGTGTGCTCAATTCTTGTGCCATCTAGCAAATATTTGCCTCTAAGGCATATCATAATACTCACAGATCATTTATAGACCTGCTTTCAGAAGAGTAACAGAAAAATGCCAAAATCCAGCCATATTTTTTTTCCAGATAATGAGGCTTTTCATAAACTATCTTGGGAATGCAATTAAGTTGTCAAACCTCCCAAACAACATATTCCCTTAAAACATAATATAAATGCTTCAGATGTTGCACAAGACCTTTCTAAGTATTTTTTGGTGGGCAAAAGAAAACAAAAAAGTGACAAAGTCTTTTTTAGCTCATTGACCCATAGCACTTGAAGCAATTTTTTTTAGTAAATCACAACCGAGTCCCATGTAACCTAGGGAGTTGACACGTCTTCCACAGATACCCAGTGGATAACATACACTCAAAGAAGAATCTAACTTGATAAACAATAATTTAATAAAGGTAAAGGAAGAAGGGCTTGGGGGATAGAGGAAGGGTGAAGCAGTTTGCAGAGTAAATGTGAATCTGGATCCCACAGTCACACCTCCTTTCTAGTCTCTGGGTGGTTATAGAAGAAGAACATCAGAGAGAGATTTTCCCTGTAAATAAACTGACTGTCCCTACTGAAAATAAAATAGCTACGTTAAACTCTGTTCCTGTTGTTTACTAAACTGGGGTCAGGTTTTCTCTGTGGCAGATCAGAGCCACTGATGCAGTTGTGGGAAGAAAGTAGCAAATCCAGGACTTTTATGGAATAGAAACTGGTTGGTTGTTTAAAATGGAAAAATGGATCAGAAGTTCTGTTGCTCTCCTGTTGGTGTGGTGGGTCCCCCAGTATAGTTTTAGAAGAGATTACCTTGTGATTGCAGATGATTTAAATGTTCTTCATTGTAATAATTGTCACTTTTTTACAGTGTACCTGTAATAACTTAGTTTGTTCTATATGCCTACAAGGCTTTTAAAAAATACCTTTACTGAGATTAACTGGGGCTTACTTGGTGGCTTGGAAGGTAAAAAATGTGCTGCAATGCAGAAGACCTGGGTTTGATCCCTGAATCGGGAAGATTCCCTGGAGAAGGGAATGGCAACCCACCCCAGTATTCTTGCCTGGGGAATCCATGGACAGAGGAGCCTGGCGGGCTACAGTCCATGGGGTCGCAAAGAGCTGGGCACGACTGACATACAACTAACATACCATCCAACTTACACATCTAAAGTGTGCAGGTCAATGTATTTTTAGTATATTCCTAGGGTTGTGCCATCATGACTACAATCTAATGTATGACATTTTGTTGCCCCTCAAAGAATTTCTGTACCCACTAGCGGTTATTTTTCCCATCCCAACTCCTAGGCAACTATTAACCTACTGTCTGTCTACACATGTTACCATTCTGAATATTTCACATGAATGGAATCATAATGTACATGGTCTTTTGTGTCTGACTTTTTTTTTCTTAGCAAAATGTTTTCAAGTTCACTCATGTTGTAACATGTGTAGGACTTCATCTTTTTCATTGTTGTATAATATTCTGTATGCATATGTCACATTTTAAAAATCCATCCATTCATGGACATTGGGATTCCCCCCCCTACTTTTTGGTTATTATGAATAATGCTACTATGGCCATTTGTGTACCCATTTTTATATGGATGTATTTTTTTCATTTCTCTTGATTATGTATCTTGAAGTGGGATTGCTGGGTAACATGGTAACTCTGAATAATATTTAGAACAACTGTCAAGCTTTTCAAAGTGGCCGCTTGACAGTAGTTTATATCCCCATCAGCAGTGGATGAGGGTTCCAGTTTTTTCATGTTTTGTCTACACTTGTTATTGTCTTATTGATTAAAGCCATCTTAGGGGATATGAAGTGATATCTTATTGTGGTACTGCTATGCATTTTTGCACATTTAAAAATTTTTTTCATTGAAAAAACAATTCTTTTTAAATTAGTTTATTTTTAATTAGAGTGTAATTGCTTTTTAATGTATTACTTTCTGCTATGGAACAACGTGGATCAGCTATATGTATACATATACCCCCTTGTTCTTGAACCTCCATCCCACCCTTCCAGGTCATCATGCAGCATCAAAGTGAGCTCCCCGTGCTATACAAGGGCTTTTGCATTTTAAAAAATTGTAAATTTTTTTTATTGTAAAATATTTTTAAAGATCCAGTGAAACAAAGGAAAAGCAAATTGGTAAATGAGCTTAGATTTGTGAAATTGAAAGTATATGCCTATGATTATGCTGAGAAAATAAGTTTGGACCTCTTCTAACCTGTAGTTGACACGTCTTCCACAGATACCCAGTGGATAACATACACTCAAAGAAGAATCTAACTTGATAAACAATAATTTAATAAAGGTAAAGGAAGAAGGGCTTGGGGGATAGAGGAAGGGTGAAGCAGTTTGCAGAGTAAATGTGAATCTGGATCCCACAGTCACACCTCCTTTCTAGTCTCTGGGTGGTTATAGAAGAAGAACATCAGAGAGAGATTTTCCCTGTAAATAAACTGACTGTCCCTACTGAAAATAAAATAGCTACGTTAAACTCTGTTCCTGTTGTTTACTAAACTGGGGTCAGGTTTTCTCTGTGGCAGATCAGAGCCACTGATGCAGTTGTGGGAAGAAAGTAGCAAATCCAGGACTTTTATGGAATAGAAACTGGTTGGTTGTTTAAAATGGAAAAATGGATCAGAAGTTCTATTGCTCTCCTGTTGGTGTGGTGGGTCCCCCAGTATAGTTTTAGAAGAGATTACCTTGTGATTGCAGATGATTTAAATGTTCTTCATTGTAATAATTGTCACTTTTTTACAGTGTACCTGTAATAACTTAGTTTGTTCTATATGCCTACAAGGCTTTTAAAAAATACCTTTACTGAGATTAACTGGGGCTTACTTGGTGGCTTGGAAGGTAAAAAATGTGCTGCAATGCAGAAGACCTGGGTTTGATCCCTGAATCGGGAAGATTCCCTGGAGAAGGGAATGGCAACCCACCCCAGTATTCTTGCCTGGGGAATCCATGGACAGAAGAGCCTGGCGGGCTACAGTCCATGGGGTCGCAAAGAGCTGGGCACGACTGACATACAACTAACATACCATCCAACTTACACATCTAAAGTGTGCAGGTCAATGTATTTTTAGTATATTCCTAGGGTTGTGCCATCATGACTACAATCTAATGTATGACATTTTGTTGCCCCTCAAAGAATTTCTGTACCCACTAGCGGTTATTTTTCCCATCCCAACTCCTAGGCAACTATTAACCTACTGTCTGTCTACACATGTTACCATTCTGAATATTTCACATGAATGGAATCATAATGTACATGGTCTTTTGTGTCTGACTTTTTTTTTCTTAGCAAAATGTTTTCAAGTTCACTCATGTTGTAACATGTGTAGGACTTCATCTTTTTCATTGTTGTATAATATTCTGTATGTATATGTCACATTTTAAAAATCCATCCATTCATGGACATTGGGATTCCCCCCCCTACTTTTTGGTTATTATGAATAATGCTACTATGGCCATTTGTGTACCCATTTTTATATGGATGTATTTTTTTCATTTCTCTTGATTATGTATCTTGAAGTGGGATTGCTGGGTAACATGGTAACTCTGAATAATATTTAGAACAACTGTCAAGCTTTTCAAAGTGGCCGCTTGACAGTAGTTTATATCCCCATCAGCAGTGGATGAGGGTTCCAGTTTTTTCATGTTTTGTCTACACTTGTTATTGTCTTATTGATTAAAGCCATCTTAGGGGATATGAAGTGATATCTTATTGTGGTACTGCTATGCATTTTTGCACATTTAAAAATTTTTTTCATTGAAAAAACAATTCTTTTTTAATTAGTTTATTTTTAATTAGAGTGTAATTGCTTTTTAATGTATTACTTTCTGCTATGGAACAACGTGGATCAGCTATATGTATACATATACCCGCTTGTTCTTGAACCTCCATCCCACCCTTCCAGGTCATCATGCAGCATCAAAGTGAGCTCCCCGTGCTATACAAGGGCTTTTGCATTTTAAAAAATTGTAAATTTTTTTTATTGTAAAATATTTTTAAAGATCCAGTGAAACAAAGGAAAAGCAAATTGGTAAATGAGCTTAGATTTGTGAAATTGAAAGTATATGCCTATGATTATGCTGAGAAAATAAGTTTGGACCTCTTCTAACCTGCTGGCAATTTTATTTCAGGTGGCCTCTATGCAGTTTATTAATATTGTAGTCCACTCAGTAGAAGACATGAATTTCAGAGTTCACCTCCAATATGAATTTACCAAATTAGGCCTGGACGAATACTTGGATGTAAGTATAGCTGTTAAGCTTTGGTTCCAATATGAGACTTGATTTATCATGGACCCTCAAAGATGCACTTCTATAATGACCAGGGATCACCTAAGGCTCTATGCAGTCATGTGTTGTAGAGCTAGTTAAAAGAACCTGTCTGAGTGATGTGATCTGTCAGGGAAGCTGGATTCATGCAGGTCTCCTGGGACCTGACACTGTCTTCTGTCAACAGCATTTACTACCTCTTGGAGCGTTGGTGCAGCTGTCCTCTGCTTTTGAGCTGTCTGGGTCAAGTCTTGCTATATCCTTCATCAGCTCTGTTGGGCACTGTGTGCTCTTAGTTACTCTAGGGAGTCCCTAAATGCTTAGAGCATCAAGAAATAATGAGGAAACGGACACTAGAGACTTCCTTGTGTAGCTGTTAAATTCTGCTTAAAGTGTTTGTGGCTTTAGAAATTCTGCTTTTAGTTCTTAGGAGAAGAGAGATCTAAAGTTTCTCTTTCTCTTGCTCCCTTGCAGAAGTGCTTAGCTGGTTCCCTGAAATTCTTCCCCTTAGGAACAAAGTTGATGTGAAAATCATAAGTAGACTTAAGTAACTGTGTGTGCACAGATGTCCTTTGACACTTAGGCAGTTTTGTTTTCCCTTTTGCATAAGGAATGATTCACCTGAATTTGAAAGACTGCTGGCGATAGGGCAAGAATTGTTGACCTCAGTTTCAAGGCTGATTCTAGAAGTGAAGAAAATACAAGTAATTCCCTTGGACATCTCCAGATTTCACCTGGAGAGTGCATTGTTGTTAAGGGGGAAGCCAGAGAACTACCCTGATGGTACCCTCAGTTTATTGAAAGGTAGAAACGCTGAGTTGGTTACTCTTGAGCTCATGGCCTTATTTCTCAGACCAGCTAGGCTGCCCTTGAGTAGACTGGCCTCATGTTGTCTAAAGACTCCATTCAGGTTTGTTGTTGTTGCATTGCACAGTCATGTCCGGCTCTTTGTGACCCCATGGACTGCAGCACACCAGTCTCCCCGTCCTTGACTATCTCCTAGGGTTTGCGCAAACTCATATCCATTGAGTTGATGATGCCATCCAAATACATTATACTCTGTCGCCCCTTCTCCTCCTGCCCTCAATTTTCTCATCGGATCTTTTCCAGTGAGTCAGCTCTAAGCATCAGGTGGCCAAAGTATTGGAGCTTCAGCATCAGTCCTTCCAATGAATATTTAGGATTGATTTCCTTTAGGATTAACTGGTTTGGTCTCCTTCCTGTCCAAGGGTCTCTCGAGTGTCTTCTTCAGCACCACAGTTCGAAAGCATCAATTCTGCATCACTCAGCTTTCTTTATGGTCCAACTCTCACATCCTTACATGACTACTCAGATGGAGCTATGAAAGATTTCCATTGAAAAGTTTGTTTAAATTTCTTCACTGTTAAAGACCCACTAATATATTTAACAGCACATTGTATTCAATAGTTTTTTCCTGCTTTGAACTAGGGTTCATCTATTCTCTTTCTCTACATTCTCCGAGAATAGCAATATTTGAGTGAAAGTTGGGTGTATTCCTAATGGTGTTTTGGGTTCTGTTTTGTGATGGCTACACAGAGCTCATTTCAGGCTACAGGATATGACAGGTAGTGACATCAGCACCTGTTACTCACTGTGAATCTTGTGAAGAATCTCACTAAGCTGCTGCTTCATTTCTTTTCTAGACTTTGCCCTTATTCAGAAATTTTTTTCTTTTCTGATTCATAAACTAAGATAGAACATATTCTTTTCAAGACAGCTAAGATGTAGAATTCTAGATTAGACCCAGGAGAAAGATCCATTTTCCTGAAACTTTATTTGTAGAGCAGAATTCTTCTTAAAAATGTAAGATTTTTTTCCCAAACTGTTTCTCTAACTTCCTGGCTTCTTGGTGCTGAACCTTGATAGATAGAAGTGGTTATAAGAGTAATGTAAGCATATAATAAATGCTTCATTAGTTTACAAAAACCCAGCCTTGTAAGTCACCATTGTCTGTTCAGTAACTGTCTACTGGCATCATCCAAGTGCCAGATATTATTGTAACCACTCACTTGTTCCCCAGGGAGAGACATGAATTACAGTACTTGTAAAAAAGATGGACTGATTTATTACTCAACCTCTAATTTTACCTTAGAGCTGGTTGACTTCCTTTGGGATGCCTGACCCTAGAATGCTGAGAATGGCAGAAAGCTTCCTAATCTGTGCTTTGGGAGCCATGAGCTTCTCATGTTGGGCAAGTGTCTTAGTCATCTAATTATGGAGGATGGGTTCAAGAAATTACTGCCAAAATAGTCCCCAAGGCTAAGAAACTCTATCAGTGTCTTTCCCACCTCCCAACCTCACCCCCAACCAGAACTGTCATCACTACCCAGGCAAGATACCACTCACTCTAATCTCTTCTACCACACAGATACCCCTCAGGGTTTATGTTACTTGTGACAGCTGTTCCCTTATGATTTTTCTATTATCTTGATTTCATCTGCATAAAAAATGTTTTAGGTTGAAATATATCTGCATGGGAAATCTATCTACAGGAAGGATTAGGGAGAAATGTGTGTATATTTGGGAGAGGGTAAGTGCCAGAAAGTAATCTGATGATACCCTCTTAGATGATTACCCCAGAGTTTTCCTAAGGAGGATGAGATAGAAAACCCTCTCTTGGAAGGAACAAACAAAAATATGTAGGCTGTTGGGTAACTATGTTCTATTTGACAGTTATGCCAACACCATGTTCTCTTGCATTTTGTTTTTTAGAAGCTGAAGCACACGGAGAGTGACAAACTGCAGGTACAGATTCAGGCTTACCTGGACAACGTGTTTGATGTGGGAGCTCTTCTGGAGGATGCTGAAACCAAGAACGCAGCCTTGGAGAGGGTGGAGGAACTGGAAGAAAACATCTCTCATGTAACTACCTCTCAGAAAAGGAAAAGTGGCTAACGTTTTGGCTAGGTGCAAAACAGAATAGATGTTAGCTTTTATGGCTTTTATGACAGCAAACAGCAGGATGTGGAGTCTAGGAATGAGCTGCAACTTGAGCTAGAAAGCAACCTGAAGCCATTCTGAGCCCTTTCAAAGAAGGCAGATGTGTTACTTACAGCTAAGTGAAACTGACTACCTTGCCTTCATTCACTGCTCCGTTTTCTGCTGCATCTAGATTTCCCTTTTAGTTATAAGCACAGAAGCATTACAGGATGGTGTTAAAAAAAAAAAAAAAAGATTGGTATTACCTGGGAGGAAATGCAACTCAAACATTTCGGTTTGGTGAAGTATTTTCTTCTGAACATGAGTACCTTGTACCAAACATGTCCACGCAAGCCGTCGACAGGCTGATCCAGTGACCTTATGATGTGGGTCTTCACCTTCCTGCCTCATGGGTCCTTAGGTTCTAAATAGATTCATCTCAAGTGGTAGCATTTTCAAGGAAATCAGCAAATTTTCCCACATACCCATTTCTTTCAAGGAGTGTCCTCTCAGTATAATGAACAGGAATATGGTACTTCTTGAAAACCCAAACACTGTGAAGACCAGATTCTTTTGCTGAATTCTTATTGAAAATGCCCTTGATTGTGAAATGAATTGTGTCTCTTTGGAGAGGTGTGGTTTTCCCTCTCTGAACAGTCCACTTATTTTCCCCTGCATTTCCTGGTATGTCTTCATATGTGTGTGTTCCATGTCATTCCCTTTTTCCCATCTGTCTGAAAAGGGGAATTTTCATGGCCAAGTTGCCAAAACCCCTCCCTTTATTAAGTGCTGTGCTGACTTAGTCGGCACCTGCTTAGGAAGAGAATTTACGGGCTCTTCCTTTTTTTTTTCTTTTTGTCTCTTCTCTTAAAATACGTATTGGTTTGGTCAAAAAGTTTGTTTGGGTTTTTCCATAAGATGTTACAGGAAAACCCATACGAACTTTCTTACCACCCAATCTTGTATTCTGAACCTGGTCAGCAGTAAATCTCCACTCTCCCTCCTCATCATTCCTCCCTGATTTTCTTTACTTGCTGTTATTATCAGTGAGATGTAAGGAATCAGAAGTCACCCAGTTTTAGAGCCTTATGTGAAAAGTAACTGTTTCATTGATGGCTCATCCCCTCTTTCTCTGAAGCCTCAGCCAGCACTGCATGACCCTACTTAAATAATCTGCTATTGTCATAACCACCTGTTTATTTGAACTACCCCTCCAAAATGAGTTTTATTATTGAAATTCCCCAGTGACTCAGTGAAGAATCTGCCTGCCATGCAGGAGACGTGTGTTCAGTCCCTGGGTTGGGAAGATCCTCTAGAGAAGGAAATGGCAACCCACTCCAGTGTTCTTGCCTGGAGAATCCCATGGACTAAAGAGCCTGGTGGGCTACAGTCCATGGGGTCAAAAAGAGTCAGACACAACTGAGCAACTAAGCATGTCCAAAATGTCTTGTATTTTTGGGATAATTTGGGTCACAACAAGCAGTAGTATTTTTTCAACTGATAACTCAAAGTAACAGAACCAACTTTTCTCAGTCAACAGTTTTCAAAACCTTTTGCCTAATAGCCCTTTCTTAGGGAGGGAAAGGTGACCAGTCCACCTCCCTCACCCACTATTCTCTACTCTTGCGGGCCCCTGCAGAAATGGAGATTGACACATTGTGGATATGGAAGCACTAAGGAGCTGACACATGCGTTTTGTTAAGAGTCCCTTGTAAATGAATTCCTGATAGAAACAAGTTTGTATTCAGGACCATCTTATAAATATTAACAATTTCAGAAAACAACTTGGGGTACACATGCTGGACTCTGAGGGGCCCTTCATGTCTCTGAACTCCGCTTTCTGAAAACCAAAGACGTGGTCAGAATAATCCTGTGTCATGACAAATCTTTCTTTTCTAAACTTGACAGTTGTCAGAAAAACTGCAGGACACGGAGAATGAAGCCATGTCCAAGATTGTGGAACTGGAAAAGCAGCTCATGCAGAGGAACAAGGAGCTGGATGTTGTTCGGGTAAGTGTGATGGTGGCAGCTGCCCCAGATGGGCATTGTGGGGAACCAGCTCTGGCTTTAGCCCAGTAGATAGAACCCGGATATGGTCACCGGCTTCTCAGGTGTCACTTGTGGTAAAGAACACGCCTGCCAATGCAGGAGACACGGGTACAATTTCTGGGTTGGAAAGCTCCCCAGGAGGGGGAAATGGCAACCCACTCCATTATTCTTGCCTGGAGAATCCCATGGGCTGGGAGCCTGGCGGGCTACAATCCACAGGGTTGCAAAGAGTCTCATATGACTGAAGCGACTTAGCACGCACACATACATGGTCACGGCAGAGGGATGCATGGATGTAGCATATTTGCTGGAACCATTTCAGAGGTGAAACTCCAAAGTAACTCATAGAGTATGTTTTTATGTGTGTGTGCAATCAGATACTAGGGGTTCACCAGTTCCTTATCACAGGTTTTTGGGAGCAACAATATTTTCCCATCTGGATAAGTCTGAGTGGATTCTGTGGATCACCCATTTGGTTGAAAGGAAAAACACAGCATGGATTTAATTCATGCCACTTATTTATTTTTATTAGACTTTGCACTTCTTTGTATTTCTTTGCTTTGCTTCTGCTTGAAACCAGGTTTGGTGGTTGCCTTGGAAACAGTGAAATCACAACACAGGCAAGACCTACTGGCATTCACCAAAAAGAGAGAGAGAGAAAGAAGAAATGCAAAAGTAAAATCAATCCATTTTATTATCAGATAATCCCAGCTATTTTGCTTGGCTTTAGCATTGTTTTTATTTACAGGTCAGGTATTTATGGGGTACCATCCATGTGTTTGAACATAAAAATACCAAAATGTCTGGAAGGCTTTTAGGCAAATGGCTGGCTTTTATGCCCCCATTAATGACATGGCACATTTTATGCGATAGTTATCATGTCTATGTGTGTTGCTTGATATTCTGACAGGTCCCACAGTTAACTCTAGGAAATTTGTTTTCTGGCACACCATTGAGACAAAGTTGTAGCATATGGCCTCAATTCAAGTTCAGACTCTCAGATTATTAATATTAGACAGGGTGTGAAGAATGTTTCCCTGCCTGCTAGAGGTTTGTGGTGAGAGATCACGTGTGTCAGGCCCAGAGAGTGAGTTCCATAAAATCCTTTCACTGGAGCCTCTGTGGGCCCCTTAGAAAAGGAACCAGGACAGCCTTTGAATTGAAAGTCATGACTTCTTTGTTTTCTGCTAAGAACCTAGACAGAAATAAGTAATTAGTGGAGGGCAGCACTGGACTGTTTTGTTAACTGCATCACCAAAGGGAAAATTTAACAACAATTGCTGTACTGGACTCAGCTTGGTCAAGGGGGCATTGTGAAGGCCAGAAATATCCATTCAAAACAGTCAGCCCCTGGTTACTCATGAGTGGATTATTCCATGATTTGCAGATTTTTAATCCCAGTCTGACTTCTATCCAAGTCTGATATAGGGACCTTTTGTCTGCTGTTAGCTGATATGTATCTAGGAGTTACGATTGAATTTTAACAAAACTAAAAGGAAAACATGCTGTACTATCAGAATACCCTCAGGATATTCTCAAGTCAACTATAAAATTATTTTTGGATTACCTCTGCCCTTTTCCTCTTCACCTGTGGGGAAAACTGATTTAGCTGTATTTATTAAAGGAAAGAACTACATTAACAGGAACAATTGCTAGAATGCATGCATTGCATGCATTACCAGTGAATAGTTGATAACAATGAGACTTTATAGGTTCTGGCCAAATTCCATAGATTTTCTATATTTATATACAAGTATCCTTTTTCTTCTTCTTCTTTTTCTTTTTTTTTCCATTTTCTTTACCTTCAGTTTGCCAATCTAATGGTAGTATGTATAGATGTCATGTGAAGACAAACTCCTGACCATGGCCTCTTTTGCAGGAAATCTACAAAGATGCGAATACCCAGGTTCACACATTAAGGAAAATGGTCAAAGAGAAAGAAGAAGCCATTCAAAGACAGTCTACCCTAGAAAAAAAGATTCATGAGCTGGAGAAACAAGGGACCATTAAAATTCAGAAGAAAGGGGATGGGGACATCGCCATACTCCCTGTCGTGGCTTCTGGCACATTGCCCACAGGGTCCGAAGCGGCAGTGGGTAATTTCGTGGGACCAATACTGGGGGCCACCTCCTCGGGACCCTTGCCTCCTCCTCCCCCACCACTACCTCTGTCGTCAGATGCATCTGAAGCGGGTAAGAAGCCTTGGCAGGAGAACTGAGGTCGTATTGGGATATTTGTATTTCTTCTTTTACCTACTGCTAATTTATGTCTTCTGTCTGCTTTTGTTTGCATGCTCTTTTATTTATTTTTAAAAACTGTTTACATTTTGAGATTAAAGTTGTAAGCCTTTCATTTCATATGTTGTAGAATACTCCCCATTTGTCACTGAGGACATTTTATAGTCTGAAAAAAAAAAAAACCATTTATCCTTTTCAGTGTTTTGTTTTCAGTTACTTTATGTACACATGGCATGTTGCAGGAGAAACCATTCCTCTGTTTTAAAAGCCCATTTGTTTCTTTTCTTTTGCCAGTGCAAAATGGTCCAGCAACACCACCTATGCCACCCCCGCCTCTAGACCCTGCCTGCTCCTCCCTTGCCACCCCCACCACCTCCCTCTGCACCCCCGCTGCCCGGAACGTCTTCACCCACAGTGGTTTTCAACTCAGGATTAGCAGGTAAGAGCACAGATTTAAGAACCAGATACTCAATACGTATAGTCGATTGTCTTACCTCCAGAGAGTCAGAGGCATTCTTTTCAATTCCAGATCTCTTCTAAGATCGCATGTCTCCTCTTAACGTAAGACCATTTCCGCTAATATAGCCACTAGAGGGGAAATTGTCATGCAGAGGTGGCGTTTTTCTCTCAATAGCCTTTGTTGTGGAAGTTCCGATCTCATACTGTCTTCCCACCTTCTCTCTCTCCACCTAGAGAAGGGGAGAGAGACAGGTTACCTTCCTAGGGATCTTTATGGGCTAAGGAAGCAGGACCATCCAAGCTCTGACACTGCGAGTGTGCTTCCAGTGCTTAGGGCTCTTTTCTTTGAAGGTATTTTCAGTGGCATCTGTGAAAGAGGAAGATGCCTTTCTGTGTAACTGCCTGATGTGGGCTTCCAGGCATTTCTTCTGAGCATTTGAGGACATCACAATTCACTATAGCAAAATTAAGTTTTGAAGGGAAATGTCCTACCAGCAGTATCTTGCCTTGAGATGCTTCCTGATGATGCACGTGGTCCTCCTGCTGCCAGGACAGGGTGTGGATTTCCTCCCTCATCAGAAGTAAGGCGGGGCCGGTGTGGCTTGAGAGCAAGAGAGTTGCTCTAATGTCTTGAAATCTTAAGTTCTTATTTTTGACTCTTGAAAAGGAATTTTTACTCTTTTCTAAAATACTGCAAGCCGTTTTCCCTCAGAGTGTTTCCCTGACATTTGGAATTGCTCTGAGTGTTGCGGAGCCATCCCTGTAACATTGGATAGTTCTGCTTCCTCATCTGTTTCATTCCCTTCTTGAGGTCTCTTATTTCTAATGAACAAGCACTCTAGTGGTCTCATTTCCAAGGCTGCAGTGGTTTTCAGAGGCTTTCGCCCCAAGTCTTAGTTATAGGCGATCTCCTAGCCTCTCTCTCTTAGCCTGCCTGTGCCATCAGCAGCTGGACTGGCCAGTCATTAGGACTAATTCATCGTAGTGACTAAGGCCCTTTTCAACACCAGCAAACCACCCCTAACAAACTTGTTCTACATCAGATCTGTGGCGTTTACTCCCACCCCTGTTCATATAAAACTGTCATGCAAGATGCCTGTTCAAAGTCGTGTTGGCAGTAAACCAGTGACTTATTTCAACTTTTCAAGATCTTCCTCGTCTGCTGCTTTCTTGTAGAACTTTTATTGCTTCTGAAGGACAAAAGTTAAAGGAGTGTCACAATGAGACTGTTGGATTTTGAAACATAAGCAAACAGAAAACCTATTAAGGAACCGCAGGAGTCTGTTGCATCAACAGGCTTTCAGTGATGTTGTGGAAGCTTGTCATGGTCGTGTGCACCTGGGCCCGGGGATGATTGCACCAGGAGCGCTCACCGTGAGATGTGTCACCATGGCGTCACTCCTGTGGTCCTGCTTCCTTTCTCTCTGGTAGAACCTAATGTGCGGTACACCCTCCGCTCCCATTCACCTGGGCTCCGACTTGGACCTCGGAACTGCTGCGGCCGAGAGAAGAGCCAGGAGGCTGAGGTGTCAGGTCCGGGGCTCCCTGCTGAATGAGTCTTGGCCTCTCAGGTTAAATGTTTTGCCTGGGTTCTTCCTCCTACCCCATCTGTGTAATTTGTTGGCTCTGGTGATTTGCCTCAGGCTTACAGTGGGACTCTGTGTTCAGCCGATCGTGCACGGCTCCTGCTGGGGTTGCTGCATTTGGAAGATGTCCCCCTATTGTGCACTTCAAAGGACTGGATGTGGGACTGAAGAAAGTCCTCTTTAGTGCCACGAGCACCCACTAAAGAGCTATAAGGTGTTCTGTTTTTCAAGACATAAGGATTATGAGATCCTTGTGAGTCTTTGATAGCTTGGGATCGGGCAGTTTCTACAAGGCCTTTAATCTCTTTTCATTACTCATCCTTAATTTGATCATTAATACTTAGTGGTTGTAGCCCATTTTGAGGGCTGCTTTGGGCTACTGGCTGCTTTGCCAGTGTGTTCAGTAACGCGCTCTTTCTGAAACCAGGAGGTCAGACAGAACCAGGATGTCCCCGTAGAGCCAAGAGACAGCTGAGATGATACACCAAGGGCTCCCCGGAGGCCAGAGACTTGTGACATCACTAGGCTCCTGGATCTGTAGGCAACTGGATGCCTTAGTTCTTCAGTAGGCAATCAGCAAATATGTTCTTGGTGACCAAGTCAGGGGACCAGGAGGAGGTCCCTAAGCTTATCTTGTAGACTTTGCTTTGCATTTTATAGAGAAAGTGTTATTAGTGTGAAGCATGCATTCAAAGTATAAGGCATGGCTCCTGAAATCTGTTGGATCAATCTGGTTCCTGCTTCTCAGTCATATCGTTGATGACAGGCCCTTGGGTGGTCTGTGCCCTTTGCTGTCTCTTTGGAAGAATGTGTTTTCGAACTTCACAATGAGAATTGGGAGTTCAGCTGATTATTTTTTTCATTAAAAAAGATTGTTCAGATCTTATGGAATACCTGGTACAGATCAATACGGATGTTTGGGACCACTGTAATAAAATCATCTTTTCCTCTCTTCTAAAAAAGAATTATTTAAAAAATATATAGTAAGGGTGTCTTTAAGGCAGGCCTGAATGGGAATGAATTTTTGGCTCTGCGCTGCCTTGTGAAATGTGTCCCAGAAGCGTGGAATTCTCTGCTAAGAGTATGTGAACTGCTGAGCCGCTGGACGCTAACCATATCTAATTTTTTTTTTCTGTATTTTCTTTGTTCTCTCTGCTTCCACAAAAGACGGGCCCATCAAGCTTTTCTGTAGGTTGCTCCTCCCTGAGTGTGTTGAGTGTCTGCCATGTGTCCCCGTGGGTCACACTGTGCCGTGACATCCCCCCATCTCCCATCGAGCCATTGCATTTGCTCTGTGTCTGTGGGGAGGCGCGGGGCCGGCTGGCAGTTGTGGTTCCAGGGCTACCCACGTTCTAGCTGAATCTGTAGAAGAGGTTATGGCCCTTTAGGCAGACATCCTGGACTTCAAGCACCAAGTTCCTTTCTCCTTGGAAAGAGGACTGTTTTCTGGTTTTATTTTCATAGTTGGATCTCTGGGCCTCAACTCTGGAAGGGTTTTAGATTTGTCCTGAGGGAGAGAAAAAAGCTCCTCCCCAGAACAAGGGCAAGCTGGGTGCTGGTCATCCCCTCCCCCTGGGGCCCGGCTGTCTCCACAGAACACCGTCCCTCCCCGACCCTACCCCCCAACACACACACAGCCTCTTTCTAGAGCCGGAACGCTGGGAGCACGGGGCACATGGTCACCTAATCACCCCTCCTCTGCTAACCGCATCCCCCCTTCCCCACCTCCTCAGGGTCAGGACAGCCTTTCTGAAGAGAACTTTTGTTTTTTGCCTGTGCTCAGATCTCAGGCTTATTCCTAGTCTTGCTGAAGGAGTTAGAAGTAGGATGGCTGCCCACAGAGTGACTTGCAGGGAGTGTCCTGCGGCCTGGAGGGGTGATGGGAACAGGTGACGCTGACCTGGCCGCCTCAGGTTATGAAGGGAAGGTGCAGCCTGCCCCCCAACCCCTACCTCTTCTCCTTGAACTTTGTTGAGGTGCCAGACTGGAGGGAGTTCTGGTCCTTCGGCCTCTGGCGGACATGGTTCTTCCCGGGCAGCGTTGACAAACGTGGTCGCCATCAGGCAGTGGGGACTAAACTGTCACATTTGGGGGTGGACGGCCTGGTGTGGCGAGAGCTGTGTTTCTGTGTCCCTGCATGCTTCTGTGTGGATCTGTCAGATGACATTCCTGCTGTTTCCGTGGCCTTCGTAACTCTGGAGGAACGAGAGGCACTGTCCGCCCCCCTTATTGCAGTCAGGCAGGCAGCCAGGTAAAAGCCCACTTGTGTCTTACGTTTCTTTGATTCTATACTGACTGAACTTCCTTCTTCTCCCTCCCTTCCCAAATAGTGTGGTGGGCATCCTGAGACAGACTTGGAAGGTGAATATTTATAGCTAGTTGGTTTAGGAAGACTGCTATATGGTGTGTAGTTAATTAATGGAATTTTTAGTGGATTATCTTTTTTAGCTTATTTCCCCAAAGTAAGAGGAGTTAGCACCCCCCCCCCCCATCCCCTCAGAGATGGACCCCTTCCTCTCTATTAAGAGGTTTCCAGTGTTTTTGATGAGTGCCTTCTTACCTTCTAGTTGCAGGTAGCTGACTCCTGGGGAGGTGTTGCTTCTCGAAAGAGGGGGCGGAGACTGCAGCCCTTCTCACAAAAGCAATGCAAACCCCATTTCTAAGTACCCTTTTTGTCTTCTTATACATTTTCTGTTTGGGGACATGCATGGCCCTTCGTCTGTTTGGAATAACTCAGCAGCCAGTATAATCCCCGTGACTGGCATCATCCATAGGGTTGTGTTGCTGTGGCTGAAAGGCAGCCTTCTGGACCTTTTATTCCTGGTGGTTTAGGCAGATACTATCTGCAGCCTCTGATCATCGTTGAAGATTTTTTTTTTCCTAAATAAATGTTCAAGAGCCAGAAATTTAGGATGTCAAAATTATACTCATGTTCACGCATGTCAAACCAAATGACACAGGGTATTTGCTCTCTCTGCTATCTAATAACATGAAGAATAATTTTTACTCCCTGACACTTTGTGCTAAGCATTGTCTTGACACTGTGACTGTCTTTCAGCCATCCAGTTGCCTGCATTTAAACAATAAATACAAGTAAAAAGCCCAGGGCTTAGGCCTCTTTAATACACTGTTGTATCAGTCAGCCAAATGAAGACCTCAAGTTGCTCTGGCCAAAGCGTTGTATGAAGTTTTCCGTATTTACAAACACCTGGCCACCTCTTGCCAGTCTTCCTCCAGGGTTAGAGTGTCATCTGCAAGGACTGTTGTCTGATTGTTCTCAAGGGTCTTGGTGGAATCTTCATTGCATTCTCTCTGACCTCTGTAGCTGTGAAAATTAAGAAGCCAATCAAGACGAAATTCAGAATGCCAGTTTTTAACTGGGTTGCCCTGAAGCCAAACCAGATCAATGGCACAGTCTTCAACGAAATTGATGACGAACGAATTCTGGAGGTATCTTTCTCATTGGTTAGAAACAAGGGACCTTCTCTGTTCAGCAAAGCCAGGATGGGTGCTGTGTTAACCTGAACATTTCAGCCATAAAAGCTAGTGTTTTAAGTGTCTTGATGTAAAAGAAGAAAAGGAGAATAAAATTGAATGCTCTTTTATAAGGTGGCTTTAAAACTGTGTTTAATAAGTGACATTAAAATGGAATAGTTTTGAACATCCTCACTGTATTGACAAAAGTGACACAATCTCTGTTACAATCTCTGCCCTTAATTTATAAAAGGGCATAAAAACCTTTTATTGAACTGTAAATAAAAAAGGACTCAATAATCACACCCAGTAGTTGGTTTGGTTCTGAGCGACTTCACTTTCACTTTTCACTTTCATGCATTGGAGAAGGAAATGGCAACCCATTCCAGTGTTCTTGCCTGGAGAATCCCAGGGACGGGAGCCTGGTGGGCTGCGGTCTATGGGGTCGCACAGAGTCGAACACGACTGAAGCAACTTAGCAGCAGCAGCAGCACTCATATATGCCTACAGCAACACTTACATAAGAGGAAAGTTGAGAGAAGTATTGCAGATGTTAAGAAAAGGAAGAAAATGTTAGTTTTCTGTGGAGTATCTGAATTTTATCCAGATTTGCTGAGTACAAATTTGATGGCATTTGAGGAATGATTCAACTCAATGCCAGATGCAAATAGGATACAGATGCATATTTTAATTCATAACAATAGGAATGTGATTCCTGTTGCTCCTTAGCACTTTCCAGACATTTTAAACCAAGTTTAGTTCTTTTTTTTTTTTAATCTGTGAACTGCAGAGATGGCATTGGTTTTATTTACTCTTCTGTGAGAAGGATTTTTCTACTCTTTCACTTGTGGTAACTTTCAAATATGATATGGATGTTATCAGATGTTTTAGGAGCTAATTTGTCATTGATGTTTTATAAATTTTGATCAGAGATTCTGTTCTGATTTCTGGCACTGAAACCTAATATGCATTATGGTTTTTAATCTGTATTTATTTTGCTTGTCATGATTAAATGTAATTCTGTTGTTTTGCTGAACAGAGTTTGTCCAGAGAATAAAACAGAGGTATTAGCACATACTTCTTAAGTTCACATGGAGCATATGTCCACAAAGACCTGGTATTCTTTCAATGGATGTGAGCATTTAAGCAAAACATCCATTTATTATAAGTATTTGGATGCATTTTTCCTAAACACAAGGAAAAATATCCCAGACTTGCTGGTCTACTTGAAATCGTTTACAGAGTTCACCAGATATTCTGTAATCATGCATATAATTTGTATCTCTTTAATTAGCAGTATTTCACATGCCTAAAAAATGTCCTTGAACCACTTAACCACCAGACGTTCAGCCTTCCTTCTGCTTTTTCCTCCTGTCATTTATTGGTGGTTCCCAGAGGCTTAGAGCTACTAGTAGCCTGAAAACTGATTGTGGCAATTGTGGTCCAGGTTTCCAGGAAGGACCAGTGAAGGTCCTTGATGCATAGTCAGGAGCCAGCTCCAGTGTGCATGTTCACATCTGTAGACATCAGCCTGCTGCAGACATCAGCTCATTCACGAGCTGGACCAGATGGGGAGGAGGTTCTCTCTAACACTGACATGTCCACTTCTGTCTTCAGATTTGACTTGAAGACCTTGCCTGTAGACTTTGTAGAGTGTTTGATGAGGTTCTTGCCAACTGAGAATGAGGTAAAAGTGCTTCGGCTCTATGAGCGGGAACGGAAGCCCCTGGAAAATCTGTCAGATGAAGACCGATTCATGATGCAGTTCAGTAAAATTGAGAGGCTCATGCAGAAGATGACCATCATGGCCTTCATTGGGAACTTTGCTGAAAGCATTCAAATGCTGACTCCTGTGAGTGGCCCAGCTCTGGCAGGGGCATGGAGGGGTGCAAAGAGATAGAATTTTTTGTTGTTTTCTTTTATGGTTCTTGCAGAATTACACTTCATGTCATGGAGTCTAAGATGCCTTCCCAGAACTTTCGAGATGACATTTTTATTTTTGCCATCTTTTCTCACTGTGTATGTCAAGTAAATTTGAAAACAGTGAATTTCCCTATTCCATGTGGCTGTTCTCTCCAGAGAATGCCATTTCGTGTGTTTGCAAATGTCCTTTGGATTTCAAATGAAACTTCAATACAGAGAACAAGGAAAATCATTTTCTCAAATTTGGTTCCCTCCTCAAAGTACCAGTCCTCTGGCTTGGTTAGCAAGACTGAAAATGTAACTTCATTTCTAAAAATGATCTCATGTCTTTAGTGAACAGGCTTATTGGCTTTCATTGGAAGCATTAAATTTGCCATGGGAGTCTTCTTCCTTGGAAGTTTGTTACAATACGCTGTGGTGATGTAGAAATAATAGCCAACCATCTGTTATTCCTTCGTGTTAACCTGGTAAAGGCTTATGAATATCATAAATAGTTCTTTCCCAGTTCTGTTTCTAAATAAATGTTTGTTAATTGCTGGTTATAGTAGCATGTATTCTGAGAAATTCTGCACAGTGATTGTATTTCTTTGCTATTTTGTTTTGTTCTTGTTCTTGGCTAGCTCCATTGATTTAAAAATATGAATTGTTTTACATGATTACAGATGGTGGGCAAGGAATTGAATTCTATTGAAAGACGCTGTTGACTCCTAACTCTTAAGTCTCATTGCTTGCAGATTTTATGATAAGCTAGTTCTCATAATGCTTCCTATTTAGAGAAGAGCTTACATGTGATGCTATAGTTACTTAAGACCTAGCAGGACAACTTAAATTTGTTACGTTTAGGAAAAAATAGAATCTCAACATTAAGGCTCTAAGTTCTAAATGAAGGCCTATTTTCTTCTGTGTTAATTTTTAGTTTTCAGTTAGAGTTCCCCATTTTTAATGTGTCTTTTCTCCCCCTCTTCTTCTTTCCTTTGACTTGGAATCTAGCAACTGCACTCAATTATAGCAGCATCTGTCTCTATAAAGTCGTCCCAAAAACTCAAGAAAATCCTGGAGGCAAGTGAAGTTTTCCTTTTATGCATTATGCTCGTATGGAAGAGCTGACTTGTCAGTTGCATTCCTCGGCTGGGGAATGCCTGAGATGCTGTCCTGATGGGCTTCTCTTTTCTCTTGTTCTTTACAGATCATCTTGGCCCTTGGAAACTATATGAATAGCAGTAAACGAGGAGCAGTTTATGGATTTAAACTTCAGAGTTTAGATCTGGTGAGTGGGTTAAAAGAAATACAAGAGTTATATGAGAGATGAAACAGCTGGCAAAGATTAAACCCTGGAGCAGAGAGGTTCTGCTCTGGGAAGCGGGGTGGGATATTTTGACGACGCTTCTCTGCTAGTGGGAGGATCAGTTGGTACAAATTTTCTGAAACACCATTTGGCAGCAGGCACTTCAAACGTTAGGAATACTCATACCTTGTGACCCAGTATTTTCATTTCTAGGACTCTTTCCTCAGGAGTCAGAAGTATGGATTCTGTTATTTTATTTATAATTGCAAACAATTAGCAACAGTGTAAAGATTGGACATTTGGGGAAATGATTAAATATGCTGTAGTAATAGTTCCAATGAGCTCTCCTTTAAGTGTTAGAATATTTGTGAAGCGTTTTCAAAGGAATAGATAATTTGGTGTTTAGTAAAGAAAGGGTATAAGTTGTCTAGACAGTTTGATTTTTAACTAAGTAAAATATGGAAGAAAAAATCAAATGGAAGTAGGTCAGGTATTAACAGAGAGGTTGAATGGAATTAGGAAATTCTTTAGAGATTTTTTTTTTTTTTTCTATGTTGTCTTAAAAATTTATTTTTTTTCCCCTTCTGGGATGGAGAAGGGTATTCTGCTTTTCAGTCACCTGACTTATGTGAATGGGGCTAGGGAAAATGCTCTGTGGAGCCCTGATCCCAGGCTATATGGGGTACCATGATTTCACAGGAGCCTACGGGGCAGTGGGTGGAGTCCCCGGCCCGGGGCTATGTGGTTATTTGACACGGAGTGTGTATTAAGTCTCAGTTCTGGCTCCTAGGAGGCCATGGACCGTTAAGCACATCTGCTTTGGGTTGGGAAAGAAAAGTGGCCGAGTGGGATGTGAGGACTGTGGGGAAAGGACCTCTGCCTGCCAGGGCGCACGTCTGCTCACCTGCCCGTTCCAGCCTCAACCCCACTCTGGCCTTCACTTGGGGAGCACTGAGGCTGGAGTCTGCTGCTTGTCAGAGGCGGTGGAGCGGATGGGGGCGAGGAGTTCCTGTGAGGAGAGAAATGTGAACAGCTCGCATGCTTGGGGTCGTCTCTGAGGTTGGGTGTATCCCCTGTTCAGGAAGCCCTCTTGTCACTTCATAATCCATGGGCTGGTTCACGGGAGAACCAAGCTGACTCTCCTGTGGGGTGGTTTCCATCTCCTCTGGGGCTCCTGTGTGCAGGTGTTTATTCTGAGTGGGAGAACATCATCTTTACTCTAACCCGTGTCCCCTCTGGCTTTCAGCTCTTAGATACGAAGTCAACGGACCGAAAGCAAACGCTTTTGCACTATATATCCAATGTCGTAAAAGAAAAATATCAACAAGTGTCCCTCTTTTATAATGAGCTTCATTATGTGGAGAAAGCTGCTGCAGGTACTCAATTTCAGCTTGTAACATTACTGTTGGGTGTAAATGCCTTGAGTCAGGGGGGAACCATTCTCCCTGTGTAAATAGCACTCCTCAGAACCCTTCTATGAAAGTGAGGCTAAAATATCAGAGGCTCTGAGCTGAAACACATCGGCTATGGTGCTGCGCATTCCTGGGATCAGTAATAAACATGGACATGAAGGTGACCTTAGTGTCCTCTTTATAAAGATCCAGGTCTTTGGGGCTCATGTGACTTCCCTCTTCCAACTGTTGCCCTTTTTCTTCTGTAGCTGTCATTTTCTTTTTTTCACTTTTTGGTCATGCCTCTCAGCATGTGGGATCTTAGTTCCCCGACTAGTGATCAAACCTGTGCCCCTCTGCACTGCAAGCACGGAATCTTAACCACTGGACCACCAGGGAAGTCCCTGTTGCTGTCATTTGAAATAAGAGGATGAGAATCTAAGATTCACCCCCCAACAAATTTTTTAATTAGATTTTGTGCCGTCCTACTTGCTCAGGTGTGGCAGTTCTAAACGTTTGTGTTTAGCCTGAATTATCAGTACTACTTGTTGTTGCCTTGCTGTGACAGTTTGGAATTTTCTTGCATAAATCACCAGTGACCCTGAGATTGTGGTTCAGTACAGGGTCATAGTATCCTTATGTTTCAAATGAGAAAACTTGACATTTTTTATAGGTTAAATGCCTTGCCTAAGGATCCGTGGCTAGAAAGTGATAGAAACAGAACTCAAGGAACTCCCCTGGTGGTCTAGTGGTTTTAAGAAGCCGCCTCTGCCAATGCATAAGACATGAGTTCGATCCCTGGTCCAGGAAGATCCCACCAGCCATGGCACAACGAAGCTCGTGTGCCACAACTACTGAGCCTGTGCTCCGCAACAAGAGAAGTCATTGCGGCCATAAATACATGATAATAATTTAAAAACAAAAGGAACTTGAACTTGGGTTGTCTTCTCATATGCATTTCTCTTCTGGTGGACTGCTTTTCCTCCTTTTCAAGTTTCCCTTTGTCTAAATTCAGGGGTTTTAGCATCACAATTCTAATTAAGAAAAAACAAGTTTAAAAATTTCCTATAGCTCATTTTGGCCCTAATGAGATTCCCCTAAAGAGTCATTTCAAAAAACCCAGTGGGGGAGATTGGGGAGATTGAGGTGCTCTCTGACAGACTTGTTTTCTGTGTTCATACTCTGGATTCCTTTATTTATCTATCTATTTTTACTGTGGTAAAAGTCACATAATATAAAAAATACCATTTAACCATATTCACCCGTGCAGTCCAGGAGCACTGTTCAGTGTGAGTGTGTAAGTACATTCACTTTGTTGTGCAGCTCTCACCATGATCCATCTCCTGAATTTTTCACTTTCCTGAACTGAATCGCTGTTCCCATTAAACACTAACTGCCCATCCTTTGCCCTTCCCCAAGGCACCCCCAACCCCTGGCCTCTACTAATGTATTTTCTGACTCTATGAATTTGACTATTCTAGATATCTCATATGGAGAAGGCAATGGCAACCCACTCCAGTACTCTTGCCTGGAAAATCCCAAGGACAGAGGAGCCTGGTAGGCTGCAGTCCATGGGGTCGCTCAAAGTTGGACAGGACTGAGCGACTTCACTTTCACTTTTCACTTTCCTGCATTGGAGAAGGAAATGGCAACCCACTCGAGAATCCCAGGGACGGCGGAGCCTGGTGGGCTGCCGTCTATGGGGTTGCACAGCCAGACACGACTGAAGTGACTTAGCAGCAGCAGATATCTCATATATAATGGAATCAAACAGTACTTGTCTGCACCTAATGTATATTGGAATGCATTTTTAAGGTTGATATGTGACATAGATTCTTTATCCCGCCCCTCGTTTATTCATTCACTCCTTCCTTTAGCCAGTAAACCTTTTTGAGTTCCTGCTTTGTACTTGGCACTGGCCTAAGCACTGAGGAGTCAGAGATGAATAACACAGTGTGGGTCTAGCTAGGGAAAATCATGCTACATCTGTGCAGAGCTGAGTCAGGGAGTGGGGAGCCGGAGGTGGGGCTCAGACCTCCTGCAGGAGGCTGCGGGGGTGAACCCACTCTGGGAGGATAGCTACACTGCAGATGGAAAGATTCCTGCTCATAATCCCTTCTGAAGCACTGCTCATAATCCCTTCTGAAGCACGGAAGGGTTGTTGAGCAAAAAGAAGCTGTTCCAGGTTGCTTTGGGTCCTGGTGGTCAGGACAACTGAAATTCGGTAGGCGAAATGCTGCCCTCTGCTGGAGAGTCATAAAAATGCAGAAGCATTCAACGTGTTAGAGGATAAGCTCTTGGGCCTGTCAGTTAAGGAACCTCTGCGCCTATAGGCTAAGCAATAGGTTATCATGTCCAGTAAGAGGAGTGGAATAGTTGGAAACAAACACAGGATTTGGGGACCATGTTTGTTTTCCAAACTCCATGTCTGCCACCTCCTAGCTTGTGACCTAAGGAAGCCCACGTAACTTCTTCGTGCTGCTTTCCCTCGTCAGCAACGTGGGCTGATGGTGCAAATGGATTAGTGCATATAAGGGATTTACTGCAGTGCTTGATGGTGAGCACTTAGTAAATTACTCCTGTTGAAGCATCTCTTCACTGAAGACTGGAGAGCAGATCCCAGGCTCTTGCACAACCCTGGTAGCCCACTGAGAAGTTGGCTTCCCAGTGAGAACTCAGCGTGGCGTTGACCTTCCCGTTGAAGTCACGGGGACCTTGCTCTCTCTGCTTCAGTGTCCCTTGAGAATGTTTTACTGGACGTCAAGGAGCTGCAGAGAGGCATGGACTTGACCAAGAGGGAATACGCCATGCATGACCACAACACACTGCTGAAGGAGTTCATCTTCAGCAACGAGGGGAAGCTGAAGAAGCTGCAGGACGACGCCAAGATCGCCCAGGTCAGTGTCTGTGCCCCCAGCTCCATGAAGAAGGAGGGATCGCATTCCGTAAAGCCACCTGCGGCCCTGTCCCGACTGGGCGGCAACTTCCCCTCTGTCTGCTGAGGGTAGATATCCCATGTAACTGTGCTCAGCGGGGAGAGGATCTTTCTGCATTTGTACCTGGAGCTGTCCCTGTCCTGCTCATTGTCCTCTTCTAATTTGACGTCTTCACCCTTTTTTCTTGAGGCCCACCCCGCTTCCCTTCCATTCCTAGGCTCTCTTTACCATGAGGTTCAGTTAACCTCAACCAACGCATGTCAGGCCTGTGCTTGGCAGAGCAGTGTTCGCAGTGTTGGGTTTCTGTGGGACTTGACCTTGAAATCTTTTACCACACTGGGGGTCAAGTTACACACTTGAGACGCAGCCAGAATGGACTGTACACCATCACAGAAAGGGAAGGCTGTGTCAAGGGAACCGGGGAAGCAGACGTGTTGGGCTGGGTCCCGGGTGAGGCCGGCTGCCTTGTGTCCCAGGAGGATTCAGGCAAAGACATGAGCGTCCCGGCTGTGGGACCCCTGGAAGGAGCGTGGAAGCAGTGAGCTGGAGTCTGACCAATTTCTAAGGTCCCTTCTGACGTGGTTGACTTTAACGAGTCCTCCCATGGCCTGAGGACACTCTTGTAAGGAGAAGCTCCTTATCTGTGTGTGTGTGTAGAAGTGGCAGGAGGTCCCGGGATGGGATGCTGTGCAGCACTCTTGCCTCTTTGGGTTGCCTTTGACCAGGTGTTGGCAGAAAACACAGGCTGTGCAGAATCCTGGGAGGTGAGGGAGGGCAGAGGCCAGAGAGTTGCAGGGGCCCCTGCAGCTCTTTCCCAAGTTCAAATGCTGGAAAAAATGACATTTAAGAGAAATTCACTTTTTCATAGGATGCCTTTGATGACGTGGTGAAGTACTTTGGAGAAAACCCCAAGACGACACCCCCATCTGTCTTCTTCCCCGTCTTTGTCCGGTTTGTGAAAGCCTATAAGGTAAACAGGTGTCTGTCAAGCCTCCCCTGGCATTATTTCTTGAGTGGCTGCCCTCCTGGAGCTGCAATGCAGTCTCAAGAGCTCTGCAGGGCTCCCCGGGCCTTCAGGTGGCAGATCTGGGTGGGGAGGATGAGACGCAGTTTCTGGCCCTGCTGCTTAGGCCCTCAGACTGTCATGCTCTCTGTTTCTACCTGCCCAGCCAGGGGCTCAGCCCCCACACAAAAGCCTTTGGCTATCCCATGGGGCGAGGGAGTCCCAGGGCCATCCAAAGCCATCTTTGGAAGCTGCCACGTCAACTGTCACCCTTGCAGGCAGGTCAAAGGACTAAGAAACCCAGGCCTCCTGTGGAGTTGTGGAGCAGGTCAAGGGTAGGAGGAGTTAGCCTCAGCATCATAGCCGAGGTCAGGGACAGCCTGCTCGTGCTGGGCCTGCTCATGACCACAGGCCTCTGGACCAGCACTTCCCTAAGTGTGGGCTGAAAGGTGGCTCTTGGAAGGATAGTTGCTCCCTGTTTCCTTATCTGGACCCATAATGGCCCTTCCTTTAAATGGGAGGCCCTCTGTGACATACCCTGGGACCCATACCGTGAGATCATGGTTTTGAAAAAGCACATGACTCAGATCTGTGTCAGAAAAACGTGTCTGATGAGAAAAGAAGCCAAGGAGAGCATTATGAGATTTCAGTGCTCAGCTTTCCAGATGGAGCAATGGTAAAGAATCCACCTGCCAATGCAGGAGGTACGGGAGATGCAGGTTAGATCCCTGGGCAGAGAAGATCCCCTGGAGGAGGAAGCGGCAATCCACTCCAGTATTCTTGCCTGGAGAATTTCATGGACAGAGGAGCCTGGTGTGGGCTACAGCCCATGGAGTCGCAAAGGGTCAAATATGACTGAGCACGCAAGTGCACAGGAAGACAGTGCAGTCTCTGCTCTCCAGGCTTGCCCGCATGCTCACCTGGGTCATGTTGGTGGAGAAAGGAGGAACGTGATGGTGGAGCGGGGAGGGATGCGATGGGTGTGGACATTTCTGAAAAATGTGATTGGAAACAGTGAGTCCCTTCACCTTCCTGATGGCTTTGGAGAACCATCCCTGAGCCTTTTCACTGACAGCCACGAGGTTCCCGCTAGTCAGCCCTCGTCTCAGCATGGCTTAGTGTAGGGGTGATACGACCAGCAGAAGGCAGGCCTCCCCTTGCTTATGTTGTGAGTGTGAGCACCGGCACAGCACAGGCCCACGTGCGTGATCCCAGGGGCCGCGAGCAGTGAGAAGTGCTGGGCACGGGGCCTGCCGACCGAGGTGCTCTGCGGCTCCCTGGCTCGGGTGCAGAGATGGCTTGAGCCAGCTCTGGTTGTGAGCTGGGACCATGTTTCTTCACATAAAAAATTGTAAGTCTAAGGTCTCAAGAGAAAATATACGCTGTTTACAAATGTATAATACAAGCTGGGAAGAGGCCCTGGTTGGTCTCCAAGTCTGGAGGCAAAGAAGAGGTGCCACTCTTGGTGGTCTGTGGCGTGTCCCAGGTCAGAGCTTCTCAGCACGTTCCTTCCATGTTATCATTTCTCCCCGGGGTCCTGTTCACTGGCTCCGTGAGGCACTCATCAGGCAGGGATGCGACCAGATGTTCTACTTGCCCTAACACACTACATAGAGAATAACTGCCTGGCCTGACCCTGACCGAGGGACTTGGTGGGCAGATGTTAGCATTTTAGGATGTTTTCTCTTCCTAAGTGTGAACCAAAATGAAACTTGAGACAAAAGCAACAAAGGTGAAAGTGTAAAGTTTATTACTAAACTTTAGTTAGTAAAGCTGGTTTGGAGGATTGGGTGTGCCTCTGTGAGTTTACACTTCAGCCCTGAATTAGATGATTTATCACTGCACAGTAGACTATTAGAAGAAGCTGAGGGAGGCTGGATTCCAAAGAGGATGCTCAGAGGGCTGAACTGAGGTCAACCTGTTAGCTTTCTTGTCCCTAATCTGTCAACCTTGCTGCTGCCTCCCTTGGAAAGGAGTGAGGAAGGAGTCCAAGAGTGTCACTCGGCGACACTGGGGAAACACGAGGCCAGGGGTGGAGGTTTGCCCCTAAGAATGGGCAGAAGGAGAGGAATCTGAGACCTTCCTTTCAGAGAAACTGTAGGGAGGGGAAGTCCCCACACATCTGTGAGCGAGACTACGAAGTGGCCTGAGTAGGAAAGGAATTTCTGAAAAAGGTGAGTCTCAACTATGAGTTTTGAAGAAGTGTGATATAGACTGACAGCAAAACCCCAGAGTCATATGTAGGAATAAAGTGTGGAGCTTGTAAAGCTTTCCTTCACTCTAATTCCTGGCCTCTCAGAAAGGCTTTTTAAAACTCTTGACTGCTGGCATTTCCAGCAACATGATCTTCTGCTGCTTTTGATTTCACCCAGCAAGCAGAAGAGGAAAATGAGCTAAGGAAGAAGCAGGAACAAGCGCTCATGGAGAAACTCCTGGAGCAGGAAGCTCTGCTGGAGCAGCAGGACCCAAAGGTGAGATGTGCCAGGCTCCAGCCGTGGTCCTCGCGTGAGCGGGGTCCTGATGGCTCCACGGAGGCATGCGGGCAAGAGGGGCAGAGAGCCGGGCTGGGACGGGGTGCTTCCGTGCCTTCCTGGGCTTGGAAACTTGGCAGGTGGATGCTTGTTCGCTCATTACTTGTTCAGCCATCCCTGGAATGAGGCTGAGAGCATGTTTGTATAGCATTTCCAAGTTTATAGAGATAGGGAACTTAAATCTTGGTTGGATGTACAGAGAGACCATCCCAGGTAACCTGCTGGCTGAACAGCAAAGTGTCCGGGAAGGGGAAGGCTTCACAGGGTCGCCATTGGTGCTGGCCTTGGTAGAGGGAGGGCTTCGTAAGGAGGAATGGGAGAGAGCATTCTATGGAGGGAAACAGCACAGGTGAAGACCATGATGAAGGCTGGCAGGTCGTAGGGTTTTTCATCATGATCCTCTTCACTGAAGTGTAACAAGTCAGTGGCTATGACTAGCTGCCTTTTGTTGACATGGGATCCGGCCTTCCTATGGCTGACAGTTTTGTGTGTTCTTTGTGAAAAAGTTTTTGTTCCCAGAGACTTCCTAAGTTTTCTTCTGCTGAGCAGTGTGTTGGGATGGTGCTGTCTGTGTTTCAGACTGAGGCTGCTTGTTAGTCACAAAATGCTCAGACCCGTTTTGGATTTTCTTGGACCTCCAGTGGGTGTTGGCCCCATTAATCTCTGCCTTTTTTCTTCTCAGTCTCCTTCCCACAAATCAAAGAGGCAGCAGCAAGAATTAATTGCCGAATTAAGAAGGCGGCAAGTTAAAGATAATAGACATGTATACGAAGGAAAAGATGGTGCCATTGAAGATATTATCACAGGTAAAATTTCCTTCCTCATTGTGGCCCATGGAGATCCCACTGGCCTCACTGTTTCTGGACCATTTACAGATTTCGCTACTGCTTTTGTCCAGGGTTTACAAGTTCTTCAGTTGATTTTATCCAGATGCAGAATTACAGAGAAACTCCATGCTAGTGTTTGAAGTATGTTTATAGTAAGCTGTATACTGCCTGTCAAAGAACTCCAACAGTCTCTCTGAAAAGAAAAAAAAAAAATCTATTTCTCAATATCATATTATCAGTATCTCAATATCATTGGAACCCTGAATATCATTCACTGGGGCTCCTCCTTCTAATGATATTCTGTTGTCTTAGATTTGTCACCATGCTCCATTTTCTCACTCATGGCCACTTCTACCCATCTGCCTACTTATGGACAGGCCCCATACTGTACTAACCACAGTCAATGAATGTTTTTTCAATATGCTCTTTAAAAGCCTTTTCACTCATTCCAAGTAAGTGAAGATGCTAGGAAATCAGTGCTTTCATGAGGATGGACCAACAGGTCAAAAGCCCAGAGGGCTGAGGAATGGTCATTCTCTCCGCTAGAAATCGTGCCTAACCCAGCTTGGTTCTTGTCTGATTAAGTTGTAGCCTAATGCTTTCTGCTCAAACCAACTCATCAGAGTTTGTGCATTCCCTATTAAAGATGGGGGCAGTAATTTGGGGCAGTGGCTACAAGTGACTGCCTTTTCATGTTTGTTGCCTAAAGTTTCTCAACTTCCAAGATACTTAACACTTTTTGGTAGGAAATGTTACGCAAAAGTATAGAGGAAATTATTTAAAAGTATGGAGAATAGTACCCATCACCAGTCAGTAGTTTCCAGCTCATGGCCAATTTTGTTACAAATCCGCTTCTACCTGTTCCCTTGGGGTTATTTTGAAGCAAATCCAAGACATGCAATTTCATTTGGAAGTATTTCCATATAATCTTTGAAAGATAAGGTCTGTTTAGTAAAACAAACAAGCATACCCACAGGGCCGTTATCACATAACTCTGAAATGCAGAGTTCCTTAAAAAAAAAGCCAATCATTATTCATATTTCCTTAATTGTCCTAATTAAAATATATATATATATAACTCTCCAGACTTTTGATTTCTGATTTCTTGTTAATGGCTTAGTCAGCATTGAAAATTGGGATTACAAAATGGCCAAGTGTCAGGATTTTTTTATCAGCTCAGGCCCAAAGAAATAAACTAGGAGAAAGAATCACTAAAAAAGGAAGTCAGTAAGTAATGACTTGTCCAGAGTAAGCCAGTGTGAGAAGTGCAGTAGGTAAGTGGCTGATGAAAGTGCCAGTGTCTGCAGGGCACACACGTGCTCTGGACCTTTCTGCCTGCCAGTGTCTGTGTTCACCCTGCAGTGGCTGGCAGGTGGCTCCCAGGTAAAGCTTCCTATTTTAGCATCTCTCCTTGCCTCCTCTGCATGGAGCAAGAAGCTCTGCTCTGAGCAAGACCAGAACAGATCTCCTTGGGTAAGCACTGTTGTAGCCTCCAGGCCACAATGAGGTTGACTTGTAGGTAGAGGAGCATCCAGCCGTGGCACATTAAGAACTCAGAGCTCCGTTTTCATCAGCCTCTTCTCCAGCTTAGCGACACTGGCTCATGAAATGTACAGTTTCTATTTGCCTGACCTGATCTACCATAGGAGGTAAATAAATGTTTATGGAGCAGTTTTGTTCTGTTTTTTTTTTTTTTTTCCCTGCTTGGGCTACTTTCCATGATCTGCTCAACCCTGCCCCAGATTGAGTAAAGACTGAGTAACTCTTGTAGGCTTTTTGAACTCACCTGGGTATATATTCTATGTTGCCTTCCCCGTTTCCTGCTCCCCTCCGTCCCCCCTCCCCCAGGTATGGTTAACAAAGCACTAACCATGTACTAATGCAGTAGATTGTGGCTTCTTACTCTCTTCTGTTTGTCTTGACTGTTATTTCAATGCAGTGCTGAAGACTGTGCCCTTTACTGCTCGCACCGCCAAGCGTGGCTCTCGATTTTTCTGCGAACCTGTTCTCACTGAGGAATACCATTACTAAACTATTACTCTTTCTCACCTGATGCTCTTAAAAGGTTGCTATGGATTTTTTGACCTCTAACGACCCTCTGTGTGTGTGTCAGGGCTCCCCAACAGTCTGGCATGGTACTGCCATCTCCGCTGTGTTGCATTTTATGTTGTCTTCATGCTGCATGGTTTCTCGTTTCAGTCACAATTGCCGACTCACTAGCATCACTCATGCATCCTGAACCCACATGGCTGGGATGGTGTGTGCCAGCTGAATTAATACATACAGAAATTTTCAGAAAATAGTAAAGGGAACAACTTCTTTGAGAGTCAGGGTGGGGACAGACTAGGTTGCTTTTAAGATTTTGAGGCTAATATCTTTCAACACAAAATGACAGTCACTAATAACAGTAATTACTGTTCCTACCATTTATTGAGCACTCACTGTGTTGGAATAGATTTACAAAGATGTTAAACTGACCTTTTTGTGCTCAGCTTGCTTTGATAGTAAAATGAGCTGCTGTACAAGCTCTCAGGAATACAAAGTGCTCTACAGATGCAAAATGATTTACAGAAGGAGCTGTGAACTACACACAGCTGTAAGTTGCATCTTAACCGCCTTATGTAGTTTGTAACCATCGTCCACAGTGTGATGGAGCTCACGGTACAAGCTAAACTCAGGGAGCTCTTTAGATCTAGAGGCTTGTATAAGCTGATACAGGCAATCCATAGCTTTATAGTCACTTCTTTCCCTTCTGAGTGTCATGACCAAGTTTCAGCTGTCAGCAGTTCCCTGCTGGAGCAGGGCTGTGAACTAAGCAATGAATATAAAGGCTTGGGAGCCCCCACTGTCTTCTCGTTCATGCTTATTCACTGGTGGCTCTGTTCCATGTCAAACCCAGGGCATTGCTACTGTGATGAGCTCATATCTGGATCTGCTTCTTTGGTCAAGATGGTGGCTAAATATTAACAGCAAATACCTTTTATTGGCAAATGCTACTGTTCTTGAAAACAAAAGAAAAACATGATCACACTTTCCAGAGAAATAACTGCCTGGGCTTAGTTTCTGATGGCTGAATAAGGAACAGACTTCTCTGTTGATTAGAAAAGTGACAAAGGAAACACATACTTTGAGTATATGAAATCGCCACTGTTTGGCTGCCATGCTGAGATTGACATGGAACTGGTTACATGTTTAGTTTGTGGCGTTCTCTTCTCTGAATTGCACTTGTTACCTGTGCTCGTCTGTGTCTGAAGATAATGAAGGATGTGGTATGTTGTTGCCTGTTCTGCAGTGTGCTTACCCACCAGTACTTATTAACAAGGCTAGAGACTGTCACCTCCTTGACTAAGGTTTATTGTCAGCTTTGCTGCCGGACTGTTTTTCTGGAGCCAGACTTCAAAGCAGCTTGGATGTGGGTGGTCGGAGAGCCGGGTGGGGAGACATGCTCGGCCTTCCCTTGTTTTCTGTAACACCTCTTGTAGTGTGGCTTCCTTTCTTCTTCTCTTGGCTAACATGCCCGGGAATGTTATTCACAAAGTTGAATTGCTTTCCATTTTCATCCCATTTTTACTTAACCATCATTTTGTGTTTTTGTTTTTTTTTTCTGTTTAGCTTTAAAGAAGAATAATATCACTAAATTTCCAAATGTTCACTCGAGGGTAAGGATTTCTTCTAGCACACCGGTGGTGGAGGATACACAGAGCTGGCAAGCATCACTTTTTACTTAGCTTCCTCCTCTCTCTGTATGCAGATCAATGATTTCAATCTCTGGCTGAGGGTAATACTGGTGAGAGTCTGACCAGGGAGAAGTCTTTGTACCTCACATTTCAATGATGTGAGGCTAAGCCTCTCTGTTGGACTTTTTGGTCTGCTTCCATGTTCTCAAGTGTGATGGCTTGGGTAGGGTATTTGATGGTTATACTTACTTTGGGTGTGAGGCTGTCCTTCCCTTAACCCCTTCTTGGCCTTTAAGTTACTCGGTGAACCCCATTTTGATCCAAAGAAATTGAGAGCAAGTCCTGGCCAGGGAACATGATCTATATAGTCTTTGAAGGAGGATTAGGGTTTTTTAGAACTTAATTGCTCTGAGGATTCGGGAACCAGGAAACGGCCAGTCACTGCATATCCTGAGCCAGAAATGGAATTGTGACCTCCATCACGACTCTGGGTGAGGAAGCAAAGGCCCGAGAACATTATCAGGCATGCAAAACCATTCTTGGCCTGAATTTAGGAGTAGGGCAAGGTCACAAATTCCAGTGAGTCAGGAGCTTATGGGGTGGGGACGGTGCTGAACTGAGCTGAGCACTCACTTAGCTCTGGCTTATTTTGCCATGTGAGAATTAAATGGGCCCAAAACCAGTTTTCCAAGAGAAGTCAAGAAACCTTGGTTTTTAGGTTAATTCCCAGTTTAAATTTCTAGGAGACTGTATTTAAAAATTTAAGGCGTGGGCCAAACATCCTGTGGACCAGCTATGGCCCATCGATTTTCAATCTGAGCAGTGAAGGGATAAAAAAGATGAAATCTGTTTTAATTCTATTGTTTCCCTTTCTAAAGATAGGGTTTTTTTCTAAACAGAAATCAACAAACTAAGTTGATGAAAGGGAAGTACATACTAATTAAACAGAACAAGGGGACGAGGTATGAAGTCTGCTTTTTCCTTTCAGTGTTCTGACTCCATTAAATGGAGGCTACCTGCCTTATTCAAGAAAGCATGCCTTCATACTAAGAGTGCTTACTAAAATCCCCCTTGTGCATCTCATTCATCCCTTCAACCTGCTTGAACTGATGTACAGTGGTTGATTCATTCAAGCATTTTGTTGTTATTGTTAGGCATCCTGCCATTCACTGGCAGTACAAATTGGAGAATCCAAGAGGGTCCATGTGACCTTTCCCCTCTGATGAAAAATAACATCTTGGGTGGCAGGAAAGAATGTTCAGGAATGGAGTGTTATTTTGATTTAGTAATTGCTTTTGTTCAGTGGTCGACTATGATATTTCTGATTCACAAAATAAACTGACCTCAGTTCATTTTAATGGAATAATAATGGAAGCAGTGTCTGCAGACCAAGTGTAAGCTCCTTCCTTAATTAAAGTCTGATAGGAGAAGGCAGTCTGTCTTGTCTTGCAGTTTAAAATTCATTGCAATTGTTGGTATTCATGTTTTCAGAAAGAAAAAGGACTACTAAGTAATAGCTACTTCCCAATGGAAGAAACATTTCAAACTGACATTGGCTAGACTCTGGCCAGTGACAGAAGCACTCTGCTTGTATTAATAAAAGAGCCAGAATCACACCAGTATTACATGCTGTTTTTGCTTGATTGTAAATATCGAGGGCAAAGTACATATGTTTTTGGCTCAAATCCTGAGTTTGAAGGGCCCATTAGCTGACTCTTCTACACAAGCTGCTTTGATTGGCTGCCAGCTGGCCTTTGTCTTGCTTAGACACATGATCTTATAGATTGCAATTCTCTCATTGGTGCTCTCCTCTTTACAGATCTTAGAAACCAACCATACAGACGAGCCGATGCGGTGAGGAGAAGTGTTAGGCGGCGCTTTGATGACCAGAACTTGCGTTCTGCTAATGGTGCCGAAATGAACATGTGAACCAGAGACCTGCTTGTGTGAATAGAGGGTGTGCGTGAATGAAGATGTCCCTATGAACTTTCTGTGCTACCATTTAACTGCAGCCTTGAACATAGATACAATATTCTAAGGGCTCAGATTTAGCAAACACATAGAATTTTTAAATGATGGGCTCTGCTTTCAACCTTTGTTAACAAGTGCCTAAAAGTGGAAGTACCTGCTCAGATTAATCAAAGCAATAGGATTTGATTTGATTAGTATCTTTTTACACCAGTATGTTATTTTTTAACCAAAATATAAATTTCATATTACATTCATTACCTGCCATCATGATTGTCTCATGATGGCCCACCCTGGTTTCCTGATAAGTTGTAAATAACATGGAATGCATCTGCTGTGGGCTTCCTTTGCTGTCTTTTAAGAAGTTTGTTTTGGCCATAGCTGTCAACTTTGTATTTTTAAGGGCTTGCAGCATGGAAGAAGGAGAAAGTCATGTGATACTCCTTTTGTCTATACCCAAGCCCCAGCCAAGTACAAATAGGACCTAACTGCAGTGGCACAGAAGTCAGTCCACTTGTTTCACATTCTGCTTCTGTGCTGGGGCATGATGCCTCATGTGATATTCATTGGTATGAATGAGACCATCCAGTGGCGTACAGATGTTGTACAAGACTTATTTGCAGTACTGTGTTCTTCAGCTAGAGAAAGCTTTTAAAAATACAAATGTTTATTAATTACCACTAAAATTAACATCTCAGTAATCAGTATTAGGATTCCTGAGGACCATTATGGGTCAATCCTGAGAATAGAAATCAGTGCCTTGCTAGCCAGGGAGAAGTTCACTAGCTCTATGAACAAGCATTCAAGATTACTTCTAGCAGAGTAGTGTTAGTAACCTGGCTTTATCACTCTGACAATCGCAGGGTTCCCTCCTCCTCCTTTTTGTAGATTGGATTAGATATATTTGGCATCATACATCAGAGCTAAGCAATTCTTGTACTTTACAGACTACCTTGTGGGGAATTGCAATTAAATTGCTGAATTACATTGGTGTTAAGCTGAAATGCTATGTAATGGGACTAAATGGCCAACAAAGCCACTGTTGTTGTTCCTTCATCTCTGGCAGGGCACTTGATCCAAAGTCAAAAACTGGACTGAAGCTAATTTGTAATTTTCATCACAACACATTTTGCTTCTGGCTTACCTTATTGGTACATTACATCAATATATTAATTGTAAAGTTTATTGTATAGTATTTAACCACTGAATTTCTTATTTTATGTTGTGCTCATGTGAACTCCTTGGTGAAGGTCCCATTTCCCTTGGATAATGTGTAGTTATATATCTTTTTAAATGTACAGATATTTTGCTATAAAATCGGTGCAGTTTTTTATGGTTTTTACACTTCTCTTTAATTCCCACCTAAGCCTCTGGGTAATATTGTAAATATTGTTTAAAAATGCATCAGCCTATGCTATACAATCTGAATGTTATTTTAACTTATAGGTTTTTTTTTTTTAAATATATATATTTAACTTCAAGGACAGTTTAGGGATCAGTTACCACATTTCACTTTAGCGTATCTATTTACAAAAAGATTACTTTAAACTGCCACCTGCTAGCACATTTTCATAATGTGTACTTTAAAAAAGAACATGCCAAGATTGTGTCTGACTCATTCAACATTTCATTTTGATGAAAAGAGGGATTTGACCATGAGATTTAACACAAATAGTTGGTCCTTTACCACAAAGCAGCTGTTTTCCAAAGCTCAATACTGATGAACATAGGTTAAAATGGGCTATTTATTAATATACAAATAGACAATAATATTGGCATGTCCTTTTGTCTGTCTCTTAATGGGCCTGCTTCTTAGCAATATTAGAAATGTTTTATAAAAGCAGTTCATGTTACTTTCCTGGTCTTTTCATGGCATATGAGCAAATAAACTATTTACACTACTACCCTGTACTGTGTTGTCATCTTTCAGTGTATACTTGAGGGGGTTTTATGTGCCAGTTTCGTGTATACTCTTTTATCTTCTAGAAACAGATATGTTTAGCTGCTTGAATTCATAACCTAAATAGACTTGGTAAAATGTAAGGAAAACTCCTTCCTCTATAAAACTCCCGGTCACTTGCTGTATGGAACACAGGAACCAAACAGATTTTACTATTGAGTATTTTGCACTGAGATAAGTATGTCCAGAATCCTAGTTATGAATTTATTCCTTCCAGAGAAAAAGCACTCTTTTTTGGTGAGATACTGCCTCTCTCAACATTTGTTGTAATGAGGACGTTGCATATACTCAGTCTGCTCATGGACTGCAGACAGACACTAAGCACCTGAAACATCTGTGCATGCATGTGTGTATACATGTACACACACAGATATTTGTAACTCCAAGTCATCAGAGTATATTCTTAGTATATTCATTTAGTATATCTTAAGGGAAGCAAAGAAATTTATAATTTAAGAAACTGTCCAAGTGGCTTAAGAAATAGCTTAAAGGGGCATAAATTAGTCTTTATTGTGATAATCTGGAACCAAACTTGCAATATTCCCAAGGTAGACTTGTAGCTGAAACTTTTAAAACAGAAAAAAGTTAAAATTTTGCAATTAGTAAGAATCTCCTGTTTTGTACCAGAAGTGCCTCATGGTAAAGGAAATAAGGTCATTAACATTCTGTCAGAATATTTTCAGGAATAAACTACAGCAATAAGTTAAAATGAGATGGATATGGTTAGGTTTTGGAAATTTATCAGCAGCACCCATTTTTAAGATTTTTCTAATGACTCAGAGGTAAGTCTATTTGTTTTTTACTCCCAATCTTTATGACTAAAACTCTGTATCTTAATCCAGTAAAAGTCACTGCCAATGACACTGCAGTGAATGTCTAGCAACCCTGCTCACCCAACAGTGCTCAGTGGTTAATAGAACTTGACATCCACCACTGACTCTGCTGGTTCAACATACTTTTTCTGTATGTTGATTTTGTAGAATCACCCAATTTTACACTGTGAAATACACTTTCACAACTAGATTTGTAATTCACATCTATTAATTTTAAATTTGATAAAATGAAATTTGTAACCTTAATACACTTGTTTTTATCAGAAATGTGTGCACAAATACACTATCAGCCCACTTTGTGCCAAAGGATTAATCTTCCACTTTTTCTAAACTAATACTCCAACTGTTTCTAAGAAAAAAATCTGAAACAAGAAACAAATGCATGGACAAATGTTGATAGACTTTTTTTGATCTAACTTTTTATAGAGAAAAGCAAGTATTAACATTGAGAAAACAATGTGGGCATCTATCACCACACAGCACAGAACTGCTGCATACGACAGGGCTTAACGGAAAGAGTTGACACAAATCCAATTTAGTAAAAGATGTCATTTTTCTAATAAATTATATTTATTTACAAAAGGTCTACTTTTATATAATTGAGGTTCTTTACATCAGAACAATATATGAACAAAAGAGAAAATCTGGTAAGTACAAACACAAAGTAGAAACCTTGTTCCTTGTTATTACTCACCTTTCAGAACAAGTCTTCAGTTTAGTTGTAGAGGTAGGCAAGAGAGCAACACCTACCAAAAAAGTTTGCAGGCAGGACCAAAAAAAAAAAGATTATAATTCCATTTAGATACCCGCCAAGACAGCATAAAAGAAGGGCATCAAGAAATGGCTTAGTTTGAATATGATGTGAGAATAGACAGCCACTTTGTTTTATTCTGAATGAAAACTGGAGGTGAGCTAGTTCTCCTCAAATGCAAACATCAACCTTAAAACTAGGACAAATTACCATCAAATTAACAGTCAAGTATCAATCACTAACAATGATGAGATGGCCTTGAACTAGATCATACTGACTCACAAGAACAGTTTTTATGTAGTGATTTTTTCAAAAGCATAAAAAGTTCACTGTAATTAAGAAACTTAAGCCAGACAGAGAAACCCAGTATGGTCTGGAGAGCTAGGGAGAGTATGTGGTAAATGGAGCAAAATCTTCCCTTCCCAACTCACCTTTAAGTCAGTTCCAGTAGCACTGTAAGTGCATACATGCCCTGTCACCATTATTCACCTGTTTGTCAAAAACAGCCTGAAACGATTAGTTCTCAGAACTTAAAACAGGAATTTTGTTTTGTCTAATTAGGGTCTTTAGATCAACTCTGATCTAGCTAAATGTTAGCTCCACTACTTTTAAGCCACTACTCTTGTAACAGAAGTATGCGTATGATATGAAAGAAGGTATGTTTCAAATCATCACAAGAGATTGCCTTTTCTACTCAAAAACCACATGAAAAGATGTATGTTCTCATAATAAGTGTTTGGACATTTCTGAAGGAACAGTTAAGACTGAGGCACAGTCACTAGAACTTATCTTCAGTGTACTTCAATTAGTTCGGGGTTCAGTATGGTTTATTACAATGATGCTTTTTCAAGCTCTTTAATACAGATGACGAGTACTATGGATGCTGGATGAGTACATCTGTCAACTGATATTTTATTTTACATTCACTCAGTATATGCCTACTGTGTGCCAGGCACTGTTCTAATTCACAAGACAGCAAGTGAAACACAAATCCTTGCCCCTAAGGAATCTGACCACCACCTACATCAAAACGGTTGAATAAGGTAAGAATAAGGAAGGTAAGAATTAATAGACTGCTATGGGAAAAGACTGATGCTGGGAGGGATTGGGGGCAGGAGGAGAAGGGGACGACAGAGGATGAGATGGCTGGATGGCATCACCGACTCAACAGACATGGGTTTGAGTAAAATCCGGGAGTTGGTGATGGACAGGGAGGCCTGGTGTGCTGTGATTCATGGGGTTGCAAAGAGTTGGACATGACTGAGCAACTGAACTGAACTGATAACACCATTACTAGAACCATAGAATGAAACTATGAACTTAGAATGCGTTTCCATGAAAATTACTTGCGATGTTACTTTGCTTTTCCTTTATGTAAAGTGAGTCCTAGAAAATGTAAAAGAAAATTTGACCTGCTATTGGGAGAGAGACTTCCCCAAGGGAAAAGAAAAAGTCTGATTTAAGATATAAGGAATTAATGTGCTTTGCCTCAATTTTGCTTTTAGAAGTGTTTATTTAGTTCTTTAGCTTTGCCATTTACATTTAAATTACATAATGAACACCCTATAAACTCATTTTTAAAAATGCATTCATTACTCTTTGCTGGGGTACTATTTGATTAGCTCTCTCAAATAGTATCCAAGTTTTAAATAATCTTTAAATAAAGGAGTTACCCCTATCTGGATGCAAAAATAAAAAAGTGGCTGCCTAGTCAGCACTCAATTGATCATTAACACTGGAAGAAAACCAGGATCACCTAGGCAAATGATTGTTAACACAAGATGCAGGCCCCCTGGTAACTGAATGAAAACTATGGACCTTCTTTTCAGAGAAATGTATACAGATATTTCAAGAAGTTTTATAGTCTTACCACTGTGAATTAAAAGACTGCTTTACTCTAGAGGCCAATCCCTCTCATACTATTGTTGTAAATGGGGCACAGTTAGCAAAAATCAAGATGAAATGGCTGTGATACTTTGAGCATTTTCAGATATACTGGGAGGCATAAAAATTATTTTCATTGTTGAAACACATGAATGATCTATAGGTTGAAGCTCCTTTGGGTAATGATAATGAAATGGCATCACTGTATTAAAAATGTTGGGACCACTGCTTTTATTTAAAAGTTTTATGTTATTTAAATACACTTGGGAGAAGTGCAAAGAATTCTTCATATGTCATTAACTTTTTATACCAATTCAATTTTTCCACATAGGAATTAAATACTGGAATTTTATATTGGAAGGAATAAAAAACATCAAATATTTGAAGTCCTGATTTTGATTATTAAGCATTACATTAAATGTATTACTGAATTTAATCCAAGAGTTCATTAATATTAATGATAATGAGGGAAGATAGGCCCTTAACATTTAGTTAAGTCTGAGGCTTAACTGAAAAGTATAAATTCCCTTTATCTGAATATAAACATGCTTTCTTTTTGAACACATTTTGAACATAACTGTTCAGCTCTAATTAAAACCAATATTCTAAGACATTTCAACTTAATTAGACTGAAGATTTAGAAACCTAATCAAATGGATTAAAGATATTCACACATAACTTATTTTAATAAAATCTACCCATCACCTATATCCCAGGCCACAGTATCTTTCTGGCAACTTAACGCCATTTGATGGGATCAATACAGGATTATAGTTACTTCAATTACACACTTTATAAAAAGCATGTTGTATTCTGCTTTACAACTCATTAGTTTTGTTTTTAGGTCAAATAATTTTCATGGTTGGAACAATAAGGAAACTTGAGTTTGTATTGTCTTATGGAAATCTGAAGTTGTGATATGACAGTATCTCTATACTATAGAAAGTTAATTTGAGGACATGCTAAATCACATCAATAGTTTCTTAATAGGAAAACTAAAACCTTTTTAAAGTTGTACTTTAAAAAATCATGATTCATGGAAGTAATTAAAATTTTACGGATTCTAAATTCTGTGAAACGCCACCAGTATTTCTGCCAATATTTTACTTTGATGTCCAGGTCAAGTGTTTGACATGATAAGCAATACTAACTATTATTACGAAGGGGCCTCTGAAAATGAAGTCTAGGCAACTTGCCTGTGATAGTTATATGTTGTGGTTCTAATATACAATAGGAGACTGACCTCAAGCAAGAAACTGACTTTGCATTTTCTGAAGATAGTGATTTTTACTTTCTATAAAGTCATGTCGTATTTCACATCAAAAATATGATTTGGCATTGAGAAAAGTTCAGGACTCCCCCAGCCTTCCCCTGTGGCTTTCAGGAGTGGATACTAGATTTAATTGAAACATAGGGGGCAGAGATGGGAAAAGTCATCCCAGTCTGTCCCACTTTCAAATTCATTAGGATGGTGAAGGGAAAATGAACTTTTTGTTCTTCTAAATCCCGACCTGAAACAGGATTGCCCCAAGTACCCAAAATAAAAAAATACCTAAGATAATACCAAAGACTATGTGCTGAAATTTACTTATTTACTTAAAAAAAATCTCCTGCACTGAAGGAAAATAGTATAAATTACATTACCAACCTTCAAAAGTTAGCATGTAAAAAGTATTCTAGCTTCAAACCATTGCCTTTCTTAAAGTATTCTGTAGGAAATTCATAGACCAAAAACAAATACAGGGGCCTGTATGATTTATAATATTCTTAAATATTAAAAAAGGAAAGTAACTTAGCTATGTGGGTTAGATAAAGCAAAATTTTAGGGGTTTAGTATCTTAACCTTTAAAGAATCATACAATTTTTTTTTTAAGAGCTGAGCAGTAGAAATAAATACTAGTACACACTAGAAGAGAAGATTTAATAATTGATAAAAATGTACAAAAATATTCAAATCAGAAATGCTTTAGAATGTGTACCACGAAGTCAATACTTCTCAGTGAGTAGGGAAGGTAAAAGACTTCCTCAATGAAAAAAAGCAAGAGAAAGTTCGGATTAAAAAAAAAAAACTGTTAAAGAAATTGCTGAAGTCAACATTGATTTGTTTTAGACAAGGATATTGCAGCCATCACTTAAAGTTTGGTGGCACATTCTTTAGTAGGTCCTTAAGGCAATATATTTAAGCTAATTTACAATTTGATTTGATGTTAACTTTTTAAACATCACCTCAAAATAATGCCCTCACAGTAGCCTTTTTAAAATGTATTCAGATGTTCCATAAAAAATAATGGTGGCTTTATTATAGCAGTGCTGAGCAGCACCACTACAGTTAAGGGTCTACCAGGTTTCCATTATGAACACTTATTTCTGAGTTTACCATAAAAGATCATATCGTCTTTAACCAGTTGGGTAGTGCACAAAAAAGCAGTTTATCAGTTGCTGGTGCTTTTTTTTGTACTACTAGATATCAAAATTTTTCCATTATATCTTCAAAATCCAGCTTCTATAAAGTAAATCAAATCACCTCATGACTTACACTTTAGAATAAAGTAGAGACACCTGCAGTTATCAGTAAATTGCCACCTTTAATCCATCCTGCAGTGCCCTATGAAAGGGTCACAGACAGACAGTTATGACTGTATGAAAATATGATTCTTGATACAGAATCAAAAGTTATTTTCAATTTCCTTTGCTTTTATAAAGTCCACAATAACAATACTTAAATGCACTTTTTTTTTTCCTGTGATATAATTAAAACCCAGTGTTATTTCAATTGAACTTAAAATAGAGTTCCTGGTCTGAATTAGACTTTAAATCATACTGTAAACATATTTGGTATAATTTATTGATCATCATCCAGTTGCTCCAAAAGGGTCCTTCTGCGCTTTTCCAATTCCCCTTCACTCAGTTCACTGCCAGAAGTATCCCAATTACCCTGAAAAACAACAATGAACACAATTGTGTCAGTATTCAAAGTGTAAGTAGTAGTGAACCTTTGAAAAAAGAATATAAAATCTACATGGATTCTCTTCCACAAAAACTAAGGCATCACAGACGGATTTCTTTCCCAAAAGCCTACTAATGAGTTAACCAAATACTCCCTGGTTACTTGGGGAATCAAGTAACCAGGGGAGACAGTTCTCTCAGAACGGAACTCTTCTATGGTGTTTACTTTCAGTTTAATATGTAAATCAGGGAGAATAGTATGTATCCATTTCTTTTCCTTCTTTCTACGTAACTGAATATGAAACATCTTATTTCCATTTAATGGAAGCTGGGTGTTCATTTCCTAAGTATTCTTTAAGTATTATTCTAGCTAAGTATTCGTCACTAATTTTTCAGAATCTAGGTTATCCTGTGTTTTATACTATAGTAAAGTATTATCTTTTGAGATTATATTGTGCCCCGAATTATGAGGAAAAGTTAGACTGGAAAAAATTTAAAAACAACAAAAACCACACAAAACACTTTGAGAAGGAACTCTTCAAAAGTAGATCGTTCACCTATATTTTCCATTACCTTTCAGGGATTCCATTAATCTAATGTAAGGACACTTAAGTTGCTAAGTTAAGTACAGAGGAAATAATCATTCCTCACCAAAGATGTGCATCAGACTCTCCAGTGCTGTTTGAAAACAAACACCCCTCCACCCTATTCCCACCGAAGGAGAAAATCCAAAGGGAGGATGAGGACTTACCTACCCTAAACTTGCAGTTGGTAATATCTGCTAAGCCCACACACAGCATTTGTGGCATGAACGGCAAGGTGAAGAAGGCCGTGTTACATGCTCTGCCACACACATACATACAGGGGAAACTAAGGACTAACTATGTAATTCGATATTAAAACATCAGATTTGGCTTGTAATATCCCCCTATTTGCCCTCACCTCTTCCCTCCCAATGATTTTTTCTAAAAGCTGTTAGAAAGCTACTTATTGAAACAGGATTTAGTAATGATGCCAACGTTATAGGATTTACAACGGTGCTATGTTGAAGGAAAACCCAATTTGAGTTTCATCTGTTAAATTTTATATTCTTAAATTAGGTAGAAAACATCCATTGGCATTTCTTAATGAGAATGTACAAAACTAAAAGAACATATCCTTTCTTAGTGGGTTAAACAACAATGACAGAATGCCATGTATTTTTTTAATGAACATGAAATTTAGGATGCTTAAATTGGGTCACACATGATAACATACGTTAGAAAACTACTTTGTGTGAAAAGCAGCTAACTGGTAGATACAAACAGGAAAAATTCTAAATACTTACAGAATCCTTTCCAGTCTTTTTCTTAGGTGATTTGTGTTTTGATTCTGATCTTTGTCTAGTTCTGTCTTTTTCTCCTTCCCGGTCTTTTTCTTTTTTATCCTTTTCTCTTTCAGCATCTGACTCTGGAGAGTCCTTTGTAAATAAAAGACAATGTTAAAATGGTTACTTTATCAAAATGCTATTAGGGAAAAAAACCCCTATATTAGTAATATTTAAGAACACCCACATTTAACATAGTATTTATGTATTCCTAGAGTGGTGACATCTGAATTGATAACCTCAAGGAATCTAAAACAGTCCAAAGATTCATGGCAGCAAGCTGGTCTTTCCTATGGGAAAGACAGTCTGATGATAGGGTAAGTGAAGTCGCTCAGTTGTGTCTGACTCTTTGCGACCCCATGGACTGTAGCCTACCAGGCTTCTCTGTCCATGGGATTTTCCAGGCAAGAATACTGGAGTGGGTTGCCACTTCCTTCTCCATGAGATCTTCCCGACCCAGGGATTGAACCCTGGTCTCCCTCATTGTAGGCAGGCGCTTTCCCGTCTGAGCCACCAGGGGAAGTAAACTGATAGGGTAAACCATCACTAAAAATGGGTCACTAAATTAGGTGAACCTTCATCCCTAAGATTAGGTGTATCTTGATGTGTATCTAAGACCAAGAACCGAGAATAGAGGAAAAAGTTGTTTAAACTTGTGGTTCTCAACAATAGCTATCACACACACACACACACACTCTCTCTCTCTGTCTAAGATTACTATAAAAAACCAGAGTGGGAATACTAACACTGTTTATTATTATTTGTTTAAAGTTCACCAAAGGATTTTATTGCAAAATTAAGGTGAATCACAACTATGAAACTCTTGAATTTAGGTGCTCACCTAAACTCTGCATAGGACCAAGCAGAAATGTTTACTGCCACTGAGAAAGCTAAGGGCAAAAGCTTAGGTGCAGTATAAAAATCAAGAGTTTGCTTACTGATTTATGTCTTCTCTTCTTGCTTTTCTTCTTATGTTTTTTTGATTTCTTATAACTTCTCTCTAAGCAGCATGAAAAGAAAAGTGTCAGAATTTGAGGACATCCAAATGCCAACGATTTTAATCAAGTTAAAAGATGTTTACCAGATTCAGCACTAGAAGAATGTTCTGAAGCAGAACGAGACTCTGATCGCTGTCTTTTTTTCTTTGAATGGCTGTCATCATCATCTGAATCTGACCCCTACACAACACAAATAATTTTATTCATAATGATGCTAACAAATACTTCAATATACTTATGGTACCATTTTAAATAAACTTCCTTACTGATCGAGAGCGGGAGCGCTTCCTGTGATGTTTTTTAGATTTCTTAGAATGCTTCTTATTCTTTGAATGATGATGCTGACATTCATGCTACAGGGGCAAAAGAAAAAAATTACAAAAGCTCACACTTTAGGTAACAAATCACAGAGAATTTTTAATAGTTTTGCAAGTAAGTTCCTTTTAGAGTAAAAACCACATTCATTTTTCATATTTAGGATGTACTCCCCAACTTGAAACTGTGCAAAGAGTTACTATCACTTAAAAGTGAAGAGAACATTTTAACTATCCTATACGCACTCATTTCACACCTAAACATATTGTTTAAAAGTATTAATAAAAAAAGTATTAATAAAATACTTCCTAGAGCAATGAGAACAGTGTGGGTACAGTGGGGACAACTGATACCCTCTATAAAGGTATATATCTTCAGAATAGTCATACTACTTTCAGAAACAATGAAAATATATTATATTTTATTTATTTGATGAATGTGGCTTTTGTCAGTGAGCTAGGTTCAGCACTGAAATAAAGAATTATCCCAGAGACATCTGTAAAGGAGGTTATCTCAGAAATTAAATACAAAATCTACTTTCTTTTCAAGAAGCATTCCCTTCCTAGTCAAACTTAAGATATCCAAGGCAATCTAACTACACATGAAATCAAGAAAGGAAATGTTCTATGAATTTTAACTCTTTTACTAGAACAATGATCAGGCTAGAAGGAGAGGGGAATTGCTGCAGTGAAAGTTCCCTACTCCCAAACATATCTAAGGATTTGTAAATCAATCTGCTTCAGTTTACAAGTAAGTAGAAGGGGAAAATCTAGTTCAGGGACTGTCATTTTTCATGTCACTAATTGTTAACCCTTCTTCCTTTTCTACCTCAAGGGCCGTTTTTGAGGTCCAAATCCTTTTCTGGTATTTTCAGCTCTTCCCTATGTGGTCATCAGCTCCATTTATGACCTCATCACTTTACCAGCACAGATCATGAAAGAATCTTGTTGTGGACATTCCTGAATTGGGGGAAAATATTAACACACTACACTATAGCAAAGGTTCTCAAAATTAAATGTACATTCCAGTGCTTAAGAATCTTGTTACAATGATAATTCTGCTACATTTCTGCCAATGGGGCCTGAGGTTCTGTATTTTTAACAAGTTTACATGTAATGCAGATGCTGCTGATCTGAGTAGAAAAGATCTACAGGCCAATAGCACTAGATCTAAAGGCAGCTGAGAGACAATATATGGTAAGTGTGGGGCATGTTAACAGAAAATTATTGTCAACACTGACACTTATCAAGGACAATAAATACAAAGAAATCGTCAACAATTAAGTTACCTGCTATTCCCAAAGACCATGAACATTACAAATTTAAGTGTATGCTAACTTCACCTTGCTGTGAATTATTAGTTTGTCCAAAACTGACGGCAAAGCATAATTGGTAAAAGCACTGGCCCTAGAGTCAAAAGCCTATGTTGGAATCCCTTCAGAGCAAATTACTTTTCCTCTTGGCCTCAGTTTGCTCATCTGTAACTTCACAGGGTTGTTGTGAGGATTACATTCATATATATAATATTTGTAAAACATAACATGGGCACCAAACAATAATTATTATTGGTCAATTTATGATATTTACTATCTATAAGTGATTACCTGAAATCTTCATCAAAATACCCTTAATTCAGCTAGTGATATAATTTGCAATTTTATCATTACTTGTTTTAGCAAAAACTTACTATTTTTCAGAACATCCCTGAGCTTCCAACACCTCTAATGTAGTATAATATTTGAAATATGCTTAAAACTGTTTTCTATCTGCTTTACAGGTTCTAAGTTCTTTATAGGTTTATTAATCATTCCATGTGACTCCTAAATTGATGAATTTCTGTAACACTGTATAAATATGAAACATATGAACTGTCTTCACTAAACAGATCTTTACCTTCTCATGCAAGCCTAGTGTGTTTCATTATAAGCAGTTTCTATAGAATAAACCATTCCCTAATCATCCCAGATAATTAAGTACATTTGTATAAAAGTAGAGATGGCTGGATGGCATCACCAACTCAATGGATATGAGTTTGAGTAAACTCCAGGAGTTGGTGATGGACAGGGAGGCCTGGTGTGCTGAGATTCATGGGGTCGCAAAGAGTTGGACATGACTGAGCGACTGAACTGACCTGACTGTAATTTAGGAAACACACTTTGATCATTCTAAATTCTTCAATTAAAAAAAAAAGTTTTACATATTTTGTAATGTATTAGCCACTTACAATAAAACTAAAATTACCTCAAGCACATGCATAAAATCTTTAAATATTCGTTTTCTTTCAGATTCTAGAGTTATATCCTCAAATGCTGGCTCTTTTACAAATCTCTCCCGGATCTGAAAAATTCAGATATGCAATAAAAATATGAAAACTGAGAAAAATATACCAATGTGACTAAAAAAACAGCAAGTGAAAATTGACAGCCCAGCCCCCTCAGTCTTTATTTCCGTTCCTCCAGTATTCCTAAACGCCATCACAGCTGAGTGCACAATCTTCAAATAACTTCATTTATCTCTGTAGCTATGAGAAAGAAAAAGATTTTTATTTTCAACTGTAAAGGAAAAAATTTCTAAGTATACATACATCTTCCCAGACAGCATCCAATTCTATTGGAGGAGTAGCTTGTTTCAACATACTCTTAAATGCAGATTCTTTTCGTTTCATCTTCCGAGCCTCCTCTTTTTCTCTTTCACGTTCACGGGCTTCTGCCTTTTCTAGTAACTTTTAGAAAACATATTTATATATATAGTACAATTTAACTTGTGTTAAATTCATTATTCTTCCATCATCTATAAGGTAAGGGGCAATTAATTTTAGCAAAGGGAGTTTACTATCACTCATCTCTAAGTATATTATGTTACCTTATTTGAAACAGTGTCCACTACTCTGTAAAACACTATTTCTATTCCCTTATTTCAGGAGTTTACATACAACTTAAGTATCTTTAGCCAAATGTATTAAAAACTTTTATTAATCTAGTTGTTTATAATAGTAAGAATGATAACTTACACTATTGAAAGCCAGCTTAATATTTCCTGCATCTAATGTGGTTGATCTTTTAGTTGAACTGATTATTGCCACAAAGTCTTCAAAAGTAGTATTTACTTCAACTACAAATCCTTTATCCTAAAAAACAGAAATCTTGTTAACATTAGTAACAAAAAAAACCAGCATTATTTTTAAAAATATGCCCCAGACTAAGTTAATAGGATGTATTTACCTTCAGAATGTCTTTTATTATCTTCTTTTCATCATGATAACGTGCTTTAAGATCCTCAACATAAAACTTGAAAAGGTCAAGTGCAGTTGATCCTAATGAAAAAACTAAAGAAGTCAAAAGCTAGCTCTAATCAAAGAGCTGCAATTACTTTTTTGTTTATAAAACAAAAGAAAGAAAGCACACCCCATGCCCCAAACACAACCACTTTCCCTGTGGCCCATTCCAACTATCATAACTACAATTTAGGAAAAAGAAGAATCTCACCCGGCTGACCAAGCATATTAGTGAATCTAATGTCAGAACTAATTGTTGGATACAATTCCATCCAAGATGACATAGAATGCAGTTGTCCATGTTCATGCAGTTCATCTAAAAATATCTGGGGGAAAGGGACAATGATGAATTAATTACATATTCAAAAGCCATCTTTAAGGACTTTGGAAATACTGGTATAATATGAATAAAAATATATGTTAAAAACAGCAACATATAAAACTCTTCCACCAGTGTAATCACAAATGTGTTTAGGTGCAACTGATACTTGCTCTTTGATGAAAGTAAAATCTGCTTTTACAGAAAGAAACTATTTTGGGCTTCAGACAAAAGGACTGCATTACTTTTACAGACTTCAGTTTATGTGCCCCTTAAGACAGACCATCATTTCTGGTTTATAAATATGTGTACAAATAAAGTCAAAACACTGGATATCACAAATAATGAGGCAAAAGAAGGTACATGTGCTTTTATTGTAAAACGTACTTTTTGTTTTTAAACACAGCACCTAATGTGTTCTGGAGGATTCACTTTTTATTTAATTTTCTTTTCTAAGAGGAAGACATATAATTTTACTAAAGCAATACATAGAGTTTAGGGAACTAGAACTTAACCTCCATGTCTGATTTTAAAACCTATTTCTTTTTTTCCATATTATTATTATAACTTAAACATAAATTTTTATAGGCTCACTTTATTATCTTTACTATTTGCACTTTCAGGGCAATATGTTGACTTCAATAGTCCGCAATTTTCACATTTGCTGCTTCCTGAAATCCTTAGAGAGTTTAATGCTATAAGTGTCCCTAAACTATGGTACAAATTCTGTTCCTCAAATTCCTGTACCTGCACTGTTCAATACCACAGTCGCTGGTCAAATGCAGCTTCTAAGTATCATGAAATATGACTCTGAACTGAGATGTGCCAGCAGTATACAACACACAATGACTTTGAAGGTTTATTACCAAAATAAATATTGGTTGCATGTTAAAATGAAAACATTTTCGGTATACTGGGTGAAATAAGAGGTTACTAAAATTAATATTAGTTAAATTAAAAAGAAATTACTATCATGTATGTGGCATACAAATTTTTATTAAATAGCACTGCCCTGAATGATACCTGACAAATAGCCCCACTTCTCTCCAAATGGGAATAAGCATGTCGATTCAGTCTCTATATCCAAAATTTTCTCAAATCCTTTCATCCTTACCCTTCAACATAAATGGGAGCTTAACAACACCCCTGCTATGTGATCACTAAGTGATCACACTTCTTCTTCTGTGGAATCCTTAAAATAGCTTGGAAACCATCTTCAATGATGCTCTCTAGGATCTACAGAATCTACTCTATCATATCTGCTTTGCTAGTATTTGTTTTACTTCTTGGCTGCTAAGATCTGATAAGTCATAGAATTTTGACACTGAATCTACTTCAGTGTAGATTGATAATGATGGAGTAGGAAATGGCAACTCACCCCAGTATTCTTGCCTGGGAAATATGATGGATAGAGAACCCTGGTGGGCTACAGTCCACAGGGTTGCAAGTCAGACACGACTTAGAAACTAAACTACCACCACCACCACTGTTTCAATAGCCAATCTAACTTGAGTGAAAATTGGAAATCACTTGAGATTATTTTTAAAATATGAATTAAAAAAAGATATTCATAATTTACTTTTTAAAGGTCATCAGATAACTGATGTGAATTCAGGTTTGAAAACCATTATGCTAAATTGTATGCTAAACTCTTTTATTGGGTTGGCCAAAAAGTTCCTTCAGGTTTTCTCCTAAGATTCTATGAAAAACCCAAACAAACTTTGTGGCTAACCCAATATTTACTAACCCCATCTTGGGAAGGATGGGGACAAGATGGAAAGCAAGCAGCTTCAAAGATGGCTGAGGCTGGTTTTCAGGAAGCAGGAAATGTGAAAATTGCAGACTACTGAAGTCAATATGTTTCCCTGAAAGTAGGCAAAGAGTAAAAATAATAATAAAGTGAGCCTGTAAAAATTTATGTTTAAGTTGTAATAATAATATGGAAAAAAAGGTTTTAAAATTAGACATGGGGGTTAAGTCCTAGTTTTCCAAACTCTGAATGTATTGCTTTAGTGAAATTACGTATCTTCTGCTAAGAAAATTAAACAAAAAATAAATCATCCAGAACACATTAGGCCTTATGTTTAGAGAGGAAGGCTCCCAACGCTGGCACTAATGACTTCTTGGAGCTTGTAAACTTTTGGGGGGCACAATGCAGGATGGGAATCCTGTACATTGGGAGATGTTTATCAATACTTCTGGCCTCTATCCAATTAGATGCTAGTGGTAACTTCTCCCCACATCATGACCATCAACAAAATGACTAGTTCACCACCACTCACTACCTCAGTCCAACTCAATAATCTCTTTTCCCTCATCTCCTTCCTTATTTTTCATCTCCTTATATATTGTCCAAGATATAACTACTCATATATACTTGAATAAACCTTCAAAGACTTTACCTAATAACAGAATACCTCCAACTTTGAATTCTTTCTTCATTCCTTCCATCTTGACTGGTCTCTCTTACCAAAGAAAAGCAAGTCTTAAACCCTGAACTATCTAATCAAAACATCAGACAAAGGTTTAATTTTGCCTCTACCTTTAATCTGGGCTTCCCAGATAACTGGTACTGAGTTACTTCCCTGGTAACTCAGACAGTGAAGAATCTGCCTGCAATGCAGGATACCTGGGTTCGATCCCTGGGTCAGGAAGATCCCCTGGGGAAGGGAATGGCAACCCACTCTAGTATTCTTGCCTAGAAAATTCCATGAACAGAACAGTCTGGCAGGCTATGGAGGGGTATAGTCCATGGGGTTGCAAACAGTCAGACACACTAACGGACTGAATTGAGGGACTAATACTTTTAACCTTTAAACCATCTGGCAACTGTTTAACTTTCCCTAGATGTCACTAAAGGCCTTACATGTTACATATGTAACAAATTATGTGCTACTTTTGGTAAATCTCTATCTTAAGCAGTTATTTCAACAAACCATGTGAAGAAATGATAAAAACAAAACCACAGATTGCGCACTCTCCCCCACTAAATTTGATTCATTAAGTCTCAGAAGGGTTTTGAGAATCTGTCTTTCTATTATGTTTCAAGAGACAGTGATATGCTGGCCCATAGTTAGAGAACTGCTCTAGCCCATTAGGTTTCTCTGCACAATTAGCCTGTTATCCCCATGATCATATTTCAGCTTTCATTTCAGCCTGAGATAAGCTGAAAGGGTAGTTCCTTTAAAAACCAATGATGTTGGAGTTCTATCTGCCTCCTTCACATTCAATTGCTAAGAATTTAGTCACATTACCATAAGTAGTTACAAAGGAGGCTGGAAAATCTAGATTTTAACCAAGCAGTCATGCACTCAGAAAGGGGAGAACAGATTTTTAGGAGGCTGATTAGACCTACAAGATAAAATACAACAAAAATAAGGAAATCTGGGTCACAGAAAATATAAGAGAAAGTATAGTATCAATTCTGAAACTGGAGAACATGGAGCAGAAATCCTAATGCAAAGGCCAAAAGCATCTTTTTGCTAAGCCTAAAATATAGCTTTGTGTCACGTTAGTATGTGTCTGGCATGGTTTCTGATTACTACTGATATAACTGGACAGAGGAGCCTGGCAGGCTATAGTCCTGGGGGGACCTGACTTGGTGATTGAACACAACAAGCACATCCGCAAGCAAAAGCATGCTCTATTGGTTCTGCTCAGTAACCTGCTGCTGCTGCTCTGCTTCCTTTAAAAGGTCTATGTACAACTTAAAAGAGACCTACTGAATCAATTTCTGAGGGTGAGGCTCAATAACCCCTGGTTTTAACAATACTCCAAATGATTCTTTGGGAAACTACTAAGAAAAAAGAAAACCATCAAGAGTAGTAAATGTTACATTCTTATGGAATGAAGACTGCAATAATGCTACTGGCTGTGGCATTGAAGGTGATTGGTGATCTTTGGAACCATGGGGAGTTGCACTTATCCTCATACAGGATTTAATGAAAGAGATCCAGTAATTAAAACATGACAGAGATTCCAAATAAGGCTATACAAAGAACCTGTAACTTTAGCTCCTCTGTATAGTGTTTAAGAATTATGGCCCATCCTCAAAAGCATACCACAGCACTCCCTACAGTTCTTTAAAGACCTAAAAATGAGTTAGTACTAAATGACTCATCACACATTTTATTTTCAGTCCTCCCTTTTGCTATCGATTCCTCTTTCCTGAGTGAAACCATACCTATCAGTATTCACTTTAAATACCAAATCTGCCATAGCCTTCTGTGTTCCTCTTGCCTGGAATGGCTACTATCCTTAAGTGGATTCATAACTAACTGTATAATTTAAGAATTAAATGTCTATGGATCCTCTGCAAAGCCCAAGTTAATTATCTGAAACCAGGATTCTCAAAATTGCTTATATCACTGTTAAAGGTCATTAACCATATTACAAAATTAAGCTGAAAAACAGAGCTTTTAAAATTACCTGAAAAGATTCTCTATTTTTACGCTGTCGTCTCCTTTCACGAAGCAAACTCTTTTGTTTTTCTTCTTCCTCTTCCTTTTCTAAAGCCCGGATGTGTTCCTCAAAGCAAATTAATGCATCTTCTTTATCCATATCTAGAATTATTATCAGTTATAAAAAATTAAAACATCAAATATCAGTAAAGAAAGAGGTTTATTTGCATTAACTCCCTACAAAGTTCAAATTCACTTTATCAGAATATCTGTATTTAAACTCAAATATAACTTTTAATTATCTAAATAGGAAATATTTAAGGAAAACTTTTTATTTATATAATTATTTCTTGATCTTTTATTTACTTCTTTATGGCCATGTGCACAGCTTTCAGGATCTTAGCTGTGAGAAATGAAGTATTTCTGGTCATATTAGTAAACAAGGATTTAACAGTCATCAGCAATTGCACCCTCCAATGCGGGCTCTAACTGCACTTAGGAAAGAGAAGAGTATCTGCAATCTGGCAGCCATCAGGCTGCAGTCACTCCCTAAAGTGAGTCCCACAGAAGCTCAGGATGTGGGGAAAAAACAACCAGGATACTGGCCTCAGAGAGCTGAGATGCATATTAAAGGAATGATTTCAGTGAGCCCAGACTCTTGCACCTTCCCAAGCATAGTAAAGTGCTAAACTGCTAAATTCCTTGAGGTATCTGGCTTCCTTTAATTAACAGTAATTTTCTGACTTTCAGACTACGTGCCCTTGTTATAAAATTTCTATATATCCTGGCTCCTCCTCTCACCTCCTCAGAGCAGTCTTCTCATGGTTACTTGAGATGCCCAAGTCTACTGGGCTTGAAGTCCTAAAAATTTCCACCAAATAAAACGTAACTCTCAACTTCTAGGTGGTCACTATTTTTTAAGTCTACAGCTCCCTGATCCAGGGATCATACCCACACCACCTGCAGTGGAAGAGCAGAGTAAGAGTCCTAACCACTTAACTGTCGGAATTTCCATATGGGAAATTTCCAAAAGACTTCATTAAAACATACACTGAACTCAAGGATGGAACCAAGACAATATATATGACACAAATAATGAAAATAGAATTGTGATAAATTGGTTAGCAATATCAGAATTACCCAAACAGCTTTTCAAGTATAAAATTCTATGCCTTCCTTCAAACCTACTGAAGTATGGTATTCAAAAGGATAATCAAGAAAGCTGTAATTTAATAAGCAACTAGGTAGGTCATAAATAAGACAGAACTTAGGGAAGCTTACTACAATACTAATACATTTTTTTTTTGCCTTTGTGAATCTCTATAAAGCCATTACCTCAAGAGCAGAGCATGATAAATCTGGTCACTAATTTAGTTCCCATTAAATCACAAATAAAGAGCAAGGCACAATTCCAGGTTTGACCTAATGAACATATTTCAGTTATACTTGATAAAGCTAACTTCAGATTTTGGGAACAATTTTTTGTTTTGTATTACAAAACTCAGAAAGAAATATCTTATCTGGAAACAAACAAAACAACTTTGCAGGAATGGACAAACAATTATGCAAAATTCAGTTAGTGATCTCACCAAAAAAAAAAAAAAAAAAGTGACCAATTTTCCCTGCTGGACAACTATTTAAAAACTATTTCTTCTATTTGTTGGAACTCTTACTCTGTAATTCCTCATCTTCTGCAAAAGTTGGATTATCCATCAGATACTGCTGGGCTTCAGACCAAGTAGTAGAATATGTCACATTAGCCATGTTGTCAAGTATGTTTTTTAAGGCTTCCCAATTTCTCTTTCGCAACTGCTTTGCTTGCTCCTAAGTAAAAAATATGAATAGACATTTTAACATTCAAATAAAGCATGATGTATGAAATGCAATCAGTGAAGATTTCTTCATATTCTGATGTCCAAATTTCAAATGCTACCCATTTACTTTAAATATCAACACTCTTTACCTTTTCAGTACTCTTGCCTAACTGCTTCTCTCTTACCTTCAATTTTTTTTAACTTCTCTTCTAAGACTAACCTAGAACTCCCACTCCCCCTCACAAAATCTTTTCCCACAACTATGTATTGTAGACACTGTCCAAACAAAAGTTACTACAGACAAATCACACAACAGGTAAATGATAATGTGTTCAACTACTTTCAGTGATATTCAAATTTTTGTTAATAATACTTACATTTCTATAAGTCTCCTGGAAGACTGGATAACATATAACTTAGTGCATAATCAAACAGACATGAGCAAAACTAAATGTATTTGCAGGACAGTATTTCAGCATTTTAAAAACACTACCCTACAAATACATTTTAATGATAACAATTACACGTTACTGCCATTCTTTTAAAATAACCATAAATTAATGCCTTGTAAGGAGAAATACTGAATACTTTCTAAACCCAAACAAGCTTTAAAGGAAAAAAAAAAAGCATTTTCTAAGTGGGCATAAGACAGGCAATTAATGACAATCTAGGTAGTAGCTACTTCAGTAGTTGTGGCAAAGACTTAGTTGCCCTGTGGCATGTGGGATCTTCCCTGACAGGCACTGAAGGCATGTCCCCTGCATTGGCTGGTGGATTCTTAACCACTGGACCACCAGGAAAATCCAAGAACTATTTATTTTTTAACTTAACTTCTAATAAACAGATCTACAGCACCATATATAGTAGATAAACCAACAAGAATGGACATGTTATAAAGTAACTCCTAACAAGAAACATGTTTAATTTATAAATACTGTTAACAGTGAATAATACCTTTTCTTTTTTTGAAAGAAAGAATAAAACATCTTCATAGATTTCAAGACGATCACGTTCTGATATTGCATTCCAGACTTCCATCTCTCCAAACATTTGCTCTGCTTTTCTGTTTGTTAAGAAGACTAAATGTTTCTATATTATACCATAAAAAGTAATTTTAAACCATTTAAATTTTATACTAAATTTAATAAACAGATGAATACTCTTCTACTCTTAAGTTCATAATGGTATTATAAAGGAAAACTTTGGTAATTAAGAAAAAAAAAGACAGCTTAAGTCTTGATTTCTCCTTAGAGACAGTGGAGAGAATATCAATTGAGCAATGTTTTGCAGTTAGGACTACCTCTATTTCTTAAGGCAGCTACAGAGACTACGAAACCATCCATGGAACTAAATTACAGACTTCAACAAACTCTAAGAAATTTAGTTAACAGATAAAATAAGACTACTTAAAGAAACGAAGAATTTTTCAGTAAGGCTTTCCACAAGAGTGAGGAAAATAAGAAAATTATACAGAAAATGAACTCAGTACCTCGTTGCAAAGATGTTAATACTGAATTACTCACAATCTTAAATAATAAAGCACTCAAAAATGAAGAATGCTACATAAATGTCAGTTTTCAAAAAATGCTACACGTAATAAAAATGGCCCATTTGTATTCCCAAAATACAAAAATAATTGAACTCATATTAAGGAGAAAGAAGTCAACATTTCATTATTAAATAAAAGTCTTTCTCCTTTTTTGTTGTAGTCCCTAATTAATAACTAAGTTTATAAATTCCACATTTAGCTATTGATTTATTTTATTTTATGAAACTACCACATTGACAATCACTTAAGCTTTATTTAATGAGCATCTACTCTGGATTAGTTATTGTACCTGGCAAAAAGTCTAACATGGAAACACTACAGTAAACATACAACATTATCAGCAAAAATCTTACTTGTATCTAGTTGTGGAAGTCATTTTCTCATGATTTTCAAGAAAACGCTGAAAGGATTCCTTAGCCTCTTTGTATTTGGATCTTGCTTCTTCTTTTTCTTCTTTCTCTGTTTGGACTTTATAAGCATTAAAGGCCTGCTTTTTTTCACTCAACTTTGCTAAAGCACTAAACAAAAAAATCATGTAAGAGTAAATGAAGATGATCAAATGTTAGTGTCTTGAAAAAATAATACATTTCATTCACAAATTAAGAAAATTTCAGTAAGTTACTAAACATAGAAAATAATTTCTACTTTAAAAATTAATTCTAATATCTATAGAAGGGTGCCCACACTATGTGACAAACCTTTTTAATTTTTGGTTCTTATCAGACATAAAGCAACTCTATTACTGGTACCCAAAATAACAAGAAGATCAATGGGAATAAAAAGTTACATTATTTGACACAATTTAAATTCTCGAGGCTTGCTTTGCTCAAAGTAAAAAGTAAACAAAAAACCAAAGTATTACCTATATCGTGGATCATTAATGATCATTTTCATAGCTTGCTCCCATGAAGCATTAGATGGTACACGCTGAAAATAATTTAATGAAAAGTTAAAATTTCACACAAAACAGTAAGTCATACAATAGAGAACAAAGTATAATACTCACTGCAAACATCAAGCACTTCCCTTTGCAGGAGTTTTAAAAAAGGTCTAAAAGATAATTTATTGACACAAGGCAAATGTGTTTAACAGTCTATAGATTAAAAAGAAAACTTAAAACTGAAACTGAAACAGACCATGAATACATTAATACTTTCTTAAGACTACTGATTAGAAGACAGAAAAGTTTTATGAATAAAAGCTTTATAGTAAAGACTGAAGTGGAATGTGCTATGTAGTACCTTATACATTTTTTTTGGTTGGAAGTTTTTAAAAAAAAAGTTAAAAAAAATTTAGTTCATTTTCAGCCAAAGCTATTTACAGGATTAGTATTTTTAATAAAAGCATCAAGGTACTAACTGCATTAAAGGATAATTTCATTTATTAGATACTTACTATATATCATATAAAAATCCACACTATAAATACCTTTTCTTTTAATAATTCTTTAAATGCTTGCTTTGCCTCTTCTTTTGTATTCCAAGTATATGTTTTTTTTGCTGGCTGGCTTTCTTCCTCTTCTTTTTTGGGAGTAAAACTAAAGAAAGATTTATACATGGTATTTATAATTCAAATAAACACTTGCTTTACTTCAGAAAATAATGTTTTAACTACTCTAATGTTTAGGCAAAATTTGACGATTTTAGAATTAACTCATCTATAAGAGACACATTTAATGGAACACAAATACTAGTATATATTTTCTCTAACATTCAGTTATTAAGACCTTGCACAAAGGCCAAAGTAAACATTTACACTGTAACACTATTTTCACTAGTCCACAAGTTTATACTTTCTAATGGCTTATAAAACTTACTCAATGCTCTCATTTTTGTGTCTTAGTAACAGGCTTTGGGCAAGTGTGCATAAAATAAGATGTAGAGATCAATCTAAATAGAGATTGGCAAACTATGACCCCTGAGGCCAAATCCAGTCTGCTGCCAATTTCTGTAAATATATCTTTATCAGAACATGACCCTGCTCAAGTTTGCATATTGATTATGACTGATTGGGTACTGCCTCAGCAGAACTGAGTCACTTCGACACACTATGTGACCCATAAAACCAAAAGTATTTACTCTTTGAAGGTTTATGAAAAAGTCTGCCAAACAGTGATCTCAAACAGAAAAGAATTACCCAAGAATTAGCAACTGTACTTGGTTGAGCCATCTTTATGAAAAGTTGTATAATTTTAACATATCTTCCTTTACAGAAGAGAATGCTGGGAAAAAACACACCAGAGGGGGGAAAAAAACTCAATCCCCCATAGTTAAGCTGAATGCATAGGGGAAGATTATGGAGTACACACTAACAAAAAATACAATTAACTCACAGCCTCTGAATCACACCCAAAATACAATTAACTCATCCCAATATTAGTTTGGAATACTTAAAATTATCAAAAATATTGGAAACAACATGGCCAAAAATTACCAGCTATAACATGATCTATGAGTAACTGAAATCAAGTTTAATGACTCAAGCACTATAATGAAACAGAAAACAGGAAGCAGAAAACAACTGTTTGTTAAAAATGTGAAAAAGTATTGTGAAACAATAGGATAAGTACAAAAAGATGTAAAAGAATATTACTCTAAAAGGTCTAAACGCCTACTAGTAGATTACTTAATGTTCATATAAATAATAAAATGTCTGTCATCATTCAACACGATGGGATATGGATCTCCAATGATGTGGAAGTCTCCGATATATTTTAAAAATTAAAAATATGCACATATTTTAAATGCATAGAAAAAAAGGCAGAAAGAATAAAAATCTTAACTTTTTATGCCTTCAACTATACTATATAGATTTCTTTTTAAAGCTTCTAAACATAAGAAAAAAGATTACAAAGCTATTTTCACTTTGGAAAATGCACATTAAAAATAAGAAAAGTTTATAAAGAGAGGAAGAGAGATGAAAGCAATATAAATAAATATTAAGATGGGTGATCATGTTTGGATCTTGATATCATGGTTAATATTTTATTTTAATACATGCGGGCATCTTTCAAGTCAAGAAGTATAGCTCAAGGTTATTTTTTATAGCTGCAGAAAGCACAGCCATATGAAATTACAAACTGTAAACTTAGAGATGCAGCTCTCTGGCTTTATTAAAAAGGTTTACCAATTTAATCCTACTAACAGTTTTCCTATATACTGTTAAGTGTTATTTTGGTTTTTCCATATTTGTTCAGTAGCAACTTATAGCAACTTCCCTGCAGTGCTGGGCTAAGCCATAACTCAAACTGAAACAGACTCGCCCTATCACCAGCACTGCTTTCTAAGCTTAAGTGGATTATTTTTGCAACACTTTGAGAGCATGATCCCACAAAAGCAAATCTCAAAAACTGTTATCTAACGGTGTATGTTTTGATTCTCAATTTTTAAACACTTATTGACCATTGACTAAATCAGCAATTTCTTGTATTAATGATGTCTGTTACTGATTTGCAGAAAACAAGTTACTAGACTTACTCGGCTACAGTTTCCTGCTTAGAAGTTTCTTCTCCAGTATTACTAGACACTTCACTTTGATCCTGAACAGAAGGGGTACTAGTAAGTTGTGCTTGTTCTTCGGTAGAAATCGTTACTGTATTTTCATTATCTACAACAGTAGCAACAATCGAAGTAACCTCAGGCTCAGGAACAACTGGAACAGTCCCACTGACAGTGCTAGAGGCAGAGGTGGAAGCACTGGCATTGGCTGCGGCAGCGGCGGCGGCGGCTGCGGCTGCGGCGGCAACAACAGCAGCCGCTGCCTCTGCAGCAGCCATGGTGCTCATGGTGGTTGGGATTTCTGTTGTAGGAACTGGGGCTGCTGATGTCGTGGTGCACTCTTCTTGTTTACTATATATTTAAAAGAGAGAAAACTGGTCAGTTCAATACAAATAATAGCAACCACAAATAAAGTTTGTTTTAAATTATTATAAAATCAAATGAAGAAGAGAAACTAAAGGGAAAAAGGGAAGTACTGCCAAACTATTAAGCCATCTAAAAAGATTAAAACCACAGTATGAAACAGAATTACTTTAATTTGGCAAACATTTGTGATAACATATAATGCACTGATGCAACACTCTGCATTTCCAAAACCAATAATCATTTTCATTTAGAAAATGTCCTATCAGATTGTATTATGCCTTAAAATTCGACTTATATTGTAAATTTCTTTAAATTTTATTTATTTCACCCACGCAAAGGAAAACCTGGGTAAAGGGAGAGATAGATAAAATATTTCATCTATTCTCAAATTAACCAAAATCAAATTCTGGACTTTTCTGTAATGGTCTTAATTTGGTAAGGACGTAGTCCAAATCCAAATAACTGTCTAGGAGCATCATGTGTGTATCTTGAGTACATCTCTTCCCCTGTCCCAAATCTTCAAAAGATATCAAACTATCAGGCCTACCATGTTAAATACTATTTATAAAGACAATTAAAACAAGGATGTGATAGGAGGATGCTATAAAATTATAAATATGTACTGATGTCCAAAAGTGCTTACCTGCTTTCTTCAGCTTTGATCATTGCTATTAAAGAGAAAAAAAGAAAAGTTATAAACACTACATAGTTTTTAAATACAATCACTGAAAACAACTTTAAAAGGAGATAAAAAGTTCAATACAGTAAGATTTAATTTACCAGCCTTTTTAAAAAAAAAAAAACACTACATTTACAGTGCAAGTGCTCAATAAATTCCAGGACAGAAATTAAAGAATAAAAACAAATTTTAAATAACAGCAGGTTTTAGGAGAGCTTCTTCCCACAATGCTACCTTCTCAAAGGCTGCTGGCTACTGCAAAAACACCCTCAAAGTATCTGCGTAATTCTGGAATAAAATAACATTTTCCTCAGGGATAAAACCATTTGCTTTTCTTTAAGACACTAAATTCAAAATGAGATTGAATGTATGTTATGAAATTTCAGCACATATATACTAGCATTGATAGATAGTTATGCACACCAACTATTTGTAGTAGGGTTATATCAGAAATGAGCTTGACGTTCCTTACATGAGTGAAGTGGGCATCCACCTATCTACAATAGTATTATTAGCTAATGCTAGTATAGAAATATAAATTGAGCTTTAAAGATCTTCACTCAATGTTTCAGATTTCAATCTAGTTAAAAGTAAACTTTTCTTACCGGTAACAAAGATATCTCTTTTATTCACATTATTAGGGAGTGAGGTGCTCCATGTAAATTGTAACATAAGCTTAACTCCATGAAAATATTTTTGAAACTTGTCCCCTTTGAAAACATACTAAAGGGGTTATCACTACTAATTAACAAATTCTTCAGATAAAATGATCATCCAAGCTAATGAGGTGACACAGGGAAAAGTTAAATAGACATAAGACCACAGTGCCTTTCAGTTCAGTTCAGTCGCTCAGTCGTGTCCGACTGTGACCTCATGAATCGCAGCACGCTAGGCCTCCCCGTCCATCACCAACTCCTGGAGTTTACTCAAACTCATGTCCATCAAGTTGGTGATGCCATCCAGCCATCTCATCCTCTGTTGTCCCCTTCTCCTCCTGCCCCCAATCCCTCCCAGCATCAGGGTCTTTTCCAATGAGTCAACTCTTCACATGAGGTGGCCAAAGAAATGCTTATTCTCTTTTCTGTCAGATGTCATCTTATGTTTCAAACAGTCCCATTCTCCTACAATTTGTTTTTTCTAACTGGATATAGATTATGACACCAGATTCTAATAGAAGTCAGAGTAAAAAATAAATTTATTCAATTCCTAATCTATTTTAAGTCCTAGGTAATAATAGGTAATATTCATAGATTTGCAGGAATGTTCTGAATAGTTGAGGATGCTAGAATATTCTCCTTCTGTGAGGCATGGCATTTTTATTTAATTCTCCCATAATAAATATAAAGGCTATTTTGCAATATTGTGCTAAAATAAATCAGCATTAAATGCAGGTCTGACAATGTTAACAAAATTTAAACTGATAAAAGAGTTCAAGGGTCTCTATATGCTAAATGAGTTAAGTCACATATTCCATGTATGCACCAACACTCACAACTGTCTTTAGAAATATTGTATATGATGTCTTTGTTCAATTATTGAATGATGCTTTTTATTTTGTTTAAAAAAAGAAAGTCCAAGTACAACATTAAAAACTACAAGCTCATTTATAATATAACCCTTAAATGAAAGGAATTTTTTGAATTAGAAATTTCTCACTGCAGATTTATCCAATTATGGTTAGTGAACATTAGTGACATACTCTAAAAATGTTAAATAATGACAGAAAATGAATTATCAAAGCAGCTCACCATGCAGGTTTGATTTTGTAATAAGACTTCCAGCAACAATGGTATTCTGGTATCCTAGTTTCAGTGGAATCAAATCAAATAAAAATCTATTTAAAATCTATAGAACTGAGATCTAGAGCAACAAGAAAATAAGAGCCCATAAAACTGTTACACCATTTAAAACGTTCTAATCACTTAATTTAAAAAAATAAGGCTTTTGATTGAACAATCCTATTTATGAAGGACTGCTTCAATGTGAATAACACACATATACAAAAAGGAACATTAAAAATTATTTTTCCCTGTTTTACCTTCAAGATCTTCAAGTTCTTTAGGTTTGGCCCAGCGAGATTCTTTTGTTTGAGAATTGTAATAATAAGGCTTTCCAGAGTCAGACTTGTACTCCTTCCAAGGACATTTAGATAAAAGTTGCTAAAGTGAAAAAAATAAAAAAACTTCAGATAGCAGTAATAGATTTAGCCTCTTTTCATCATTCACATCACTGATTTTACTAGGTATTATCAACCCATACAATTCTAAACCTCGCAAGATGGTGACAATATAAACAACCACTGCAGAATACTTACTAAAGAAGAGATGTTACGTTATTTGGATATACTATGCTTGTCTAAGGTGGTGTACCTATTAAGGGCAAAGACAAGATTCAAAACCAGGTCTATCTGATTTTCAAATCCAGATCTGAATGCTCTTGCCATTTACAACTCACCACAGGTAATAATTACCATCCATTTTTCACAAATACTAATACAAATAGGAAAAACAAAATTTAAGAGAAAGCGAAATCTGATTTAGTCATGTTTAGATTTCAGTTTCACAAACAATTGATCACAAACCTATGTGACTACATCATGTAAGGAAGCAGTTTAAGTATGATATACTTAAGAACCTAACACACAGAACCTGTTATGGTGGTGGGATGAGAATTCTATTGAAAACAAATCTAATCAGTGTCTGGGACAAATACCTATGGAATAAATAAATAATTTTATCATCTGCCAAATTCCCTTCTCAAGTATTGATATACTATCATTACTGTGGTGGCTTGAAAAACACTTTTTACCTCTTCAAATTCTTAATTAAGAACGGGAGAAAAAAAAAAAAAGATGCCAACTAGGAAAAACTTTCAAGTACAGCTTTGAAATGCTAGATCAACTCTCACTTAGGACACCAGAGTTCCTGATTAAACCAAATGGAACACTGCTTACCCAGTTTATTCCTTCAATCTTACTTTCATATTTGTATAGTTTGAATGGTAAAATTTACAACATGAAATAATACATTCTCAGGTGGGGGTTGTATTTTTCAAAGACATAATTTCCCATTCTAAAAGATGGAAGTATTTTAATTTAACTTCATCTCCACGAGATTAGCTTCATTGGAAAAACAAGCACCCAGAAGAAGATATCTGAAATCACTCAGGTTTGATATAAAGAGGAAAACAGACCAAGAGTACTTTTCTTCTTCCAATTTACTCTTTAAGTCACTTTTCTTTTAATTGATAACCACCTGACAAAGGTTCCTGAGCAGGGGTAAAAATCAGTAAATAAAACTGGTTTGCTCATAGAAGGGAATGAATTTTGTCTTTTTGCTTACTGGTGTGACTGTACAAACCCTTTTCTCCTCTGAATGCCTTTGTAGCATCCTTTTCTGATATAAGCAGTACTATTTCTTTGGAAAGCCAAATATCTACCAAAACCCTTAAAAAAGAAAAAAAAAGAAAACTCTATTTAATCTCTAACAAACTTTTACCTCAGCAGGGGTTTTAAGATCATCTGGTTTCTCCCAAGTAGACTGCTTTGTTTCAGTATTGTAATAGTAGGTCCTTCCATCAGGTGATTTATGTTCAGTCCACATTGATTTCTAATGAAAAATATTAATACAAACATTCAAATTATGTAACAGTGACAAAGACAGTAAACATGAATGTTATAAGTTTCAAAGCAATATATGAAGAAATTAAAAGTATAAAATGGGCATACTTTTGAATAACTGATCAACCTAAGTAGGGAGGTAACTGATAATAGAATATTTTATAAGTACTTCAAAAGCAGCATGGATCAGTTCAGGTTTCAGGATCTCTATTCTACAGTCTCAAAATTATAAGGATACAACTGCTTAAGTAACTACTATACATAAGACAATCTTTTAGCAACACAAATCTACGCCTTGTGGAAAAAAGAGAATATATGAATGAGATGCTAATGCAGTACAAGAGGACTGACCATGAGCTCAACAACTCTAACATAAAGAATATTTACAAAAAGTTGAACCAAGTTCTAAACTGACATGCAGTAAGGATGCAGGAGTCGAAATTGCAAAGGATGCCTCTGGATGACAATCAGAATTTAATAATCAACAAGGTGAAATTTAACAGGGATAAAATGTGAACTCAAATGCCTCAACAAAAGATGAGAATACTTTATAGAAACTACTCTGATACAGAATACATACTGACTAATGGTAAGTACCTACTAAAAGGTGTTAGTAAGACTTCAAGTATCAATAGATGTGATACCTCATGGTTACAAGCTCTGTAAGGTCACCATATAAACACATGGACACTAACATAATAAAGGGACTGCAAAGAACTTTTGAGATGATAGATGTCTATAGCCTTGGTGATAATTCCATGGATGTGTATTTATTCCCCAAATCATCCAGTCACACATTTAGTATGTACAGTTTTTCATATGTCAATAATAACTTAGTAGTGTTTTTTAAAAAGTAATTTTACAAAGAATCATGAATGAATGAATGACTGGATGAGATCAAAGGTACTAAGCCCAGTTCTGGGCATCAGATTTTTCAGATGGTAACAGACTAAAGTATGCTTTAAAAAGGGTTATAAAAATGGTCTATACTAAATTTCTTCAATCCTCTAAGAAAGAAAAGGTAAAATCACTGTCAAATGATCACAGTTTCTACCACTCAGATTTATGTTAAACTTTTTGAAAGGATTTATTCTTATTTAGGGGCTTTTCACGTGGTGCAAATAGTAAAGAAGCTGCCTGCCAATGCAGGTTGTTAGATATGAGACACAAGTTCCGCTGGGTCGGGAAGATCCCTTGGAGGAGGGCATGGCAACCCACTCGAGTATTTTTGCCTGGAAAATCTCATGACTAGCCTTTCTGAGACTTGTTAATAATTCCATTCCATAAACAGTCAGAACCTTACAGTATGGATTTCTGAATGATGTAGCAGGATAGTTAGGTTAGTGTGAAAGCATTAGTTGCTCAGTTGTGTCTGAGACCTTTAGACCCCATACCAAGTTCCTCTGTCCATGGGATTCTCCAGGCAAAAACACTGGAGTGGGTTACCATTCCCTTCTCCAAGGGATCTTTCTGACCCAGGGACTGAACTCAGGTCTTCCACACTGTAGGCAGATTCATTACCATCTAAACCACCAGGGAAGCCCCGAGATAACTGCAAGTGTATTTAAATTCCTTAACTTGTTCCAGCACCTTTGTAGAATATGACAACTACATTCTCTCTGGAGCAAACATTAAATAATTGCTGAAAATGAAATGAAAAAGTGATACAGTAAGAGACATATATAGAAGCTTCTTCAACTGTATGGGTAACGCTTACTTCATAAATTAAATGGTGTTAACATAGATAAACAAACATATGAGATAACAGAATGAAAAGGGAAAGGACTATGTGTCCACAAAAAATGGGAAGAGAAGATACAAAACAGTAAGCAATTTAGCATTCACTCACCTATTACTTTATTGGAATTTTAAAAGCAGGTAAGACCATTATCCTCATTTTACAAATTAAAAGAACAAAGCTTACAAGGGTTAACAACTTGCTCACAGTGATTCAAGAAATAATACTGTTTCAAGCATGCATTCAGGGACAGTCTAACAAATTCATGGCTAACTATTTAATATTAAGCCCTGTACCAACTGCTTTGCATCAGTTATCAGTTAACTCTTCTAATAATCCTTTTTAACAACCCTTTTAAAAACCCTATGAGGTAGGTACCATTTACTAGCCTCACTTTATGGAAGAGAAAAGGGAGCACAAGAAAGTAAAGTAACATGCCCAAGGTAATATATCTAGCTTGAGTTCATAACAACACCATCCCAGCCCAAAACTAAGGTCTTACTATGGATCAAGGGTCCAGCTCTTCGCATCAATAGAAATTGAATCATTTCAGACAGGAATATAAATTCTGTACAAATGTCTTAAGCAATACACCAAATTCACTTATAAAAGTCAATTTTGAAGTGAGAAAAGTCATTTATCTGATAAACTATTCACTCTTTTACCTTAAAAATATCTAATCTGCAACTTACAGTAAAATTATGTTTCTGGTCAAAACTAGTAATATTTTAAAAGCTTAAAAGAAAATATATCTGAATGTTGAGTGGCATAAAAAAACATTATCAACAGCTAACAACTAGAGAGTTATCTTCATAGGCTACAATATGACCTAGGCAAGTAGTTATTAAATATTGACAGTCATGTTAGTATAGGCTATTTTATAAAACATTTGCTGAGTTCCCCAAAGCAATAAGCAAAAGTTATCTATCAAAGACTTAAGATAATAACCACCCAAGGACAGTTCAATTACAGTCCTCCTTTCATACTATAAACTCAGATCTTCTTTTAATATAATGAAAAATATGCAGTGCTAACTAAAAACAGTAAGACACTGTAACAAATGATGTAGTGGCACAATATATACTGAAAATACCTGAAAGGAAAAAAGCAAAAAACAAAATCCTGGGTATAAGGGGGGAAAATGCACATACATAATTATCAAGAGACCTTACATACTTTTCAGAGTCAAAAAAGCTAGTCAACAACTGGGTTGTGAATAAACTAAGCACATTCAAACTCAAAATGTAAACATTTTTACAATGCATAAACTCAACTGAATGAAAAAAAAAAATGACTAAATCATTTTTTAAAAAATGACTAAATAAAACACTAAGAAATGTAGAAAAGCCACTCACTACTCTAAATAAGGAAAATAAACCACAGAGAAGAGATTCACAATCAATTTCAGAATCTAGAGGAAATGATTTCCTCTCAAACTATTTACCAAAATTCACCCAAAAGAAAAACATCACACTTGAATATTTCAGTTACCATAGATGCAACTGAAAGAAACTTAACCAGCTGATTTTACAGCATAACTCTATGGAACCTTTCAAGAACAGAGGATCACAATATTATTTCAGGTCACAGAAAGAGATGAAAAGCTCTTTATAAGAGTAACAAAGCACAACAGAAAAGTATCAAAAAAGAAAAGCAGGCAATGATGCTTATAAAAAGCATCATTTAATATAATAAGTAATATATAATTATATACATAATATATATTATATTATGTATATTATTATATGACATAATACATTATATAATATAATGTAGATATTATAATAATAAATATAAATAATTTATAATAAGCTTATAAATATAAGAAAATACTAGCCATGAGGATTCTACAACGTATACACTTTGAAAAAGTAGAGTTTACTATATAAAAGTGCTAGGGCCCCCTCCACAGGATCACACCAATAGACCTGGTACAACCTGGTGGCTCAGACAGTAAAGAATCTGTCTGCGATGCAGGAGACCCAGGTTCCATCTCTGGGTTGGGAAGATCCCTTGGAGAAGGGAAATGGCAACCCACGCCAGTAATCTTTCCTGGAGAATTCCACAGACAGAGGAGTCTGGTGTGCTACAGTCCATGGGGTCGAAAAGAGTTGGACAACTGAGCTACTTTGACTTTCACTTTTCACAACCAAACTACATCCTGAAAATCACGGTGATTTACAAGTCTTCAAAATATAAATAGAAACAAAAAATTCTCAAATAATACAATATTAAAAAGAAAAATATTTAAATGATAATTTATCAAAAACCAATAAAAATTATTCTAAATCCACTTCTATTAAACTTATGACCAAAACCATAATTCAATAAATACAGCATGGCAATAAAATTAAATGACGGGTATTAAGTTTGGGAAAAAGATCAATTCTGCCTTTACTTTGCTAAAAACTCCTATAAAATCTAACCTATTCTATTTATCCAGTGACTGTGATAATACAGCTGGCTATGAGATATATTATACATGCATTTATTTTGCACCTGAGCCTTAAAACACAGAGCAACAAGAGAAAAATATGGGAGAACAAGATGAAAAAAGATTTTAATATACTTCTCTCCTTAGGGAGATCAAGCAGATTAGATATGCCAAGATACAGAATAACAAAATAACGTTAAACTGTCAGCACAAAAAAATACTCCTAAAATTAGTCCTGACACAGAACATAAGTGAGGCTTTAATAAACTGCAAAGAGTCAACATCTTATAGACTGTGCTTTCTGATCACAATGCAAAAAGGTATGCCTTATAAAAAATAAATCAAAGGCAAGATCAATGAAATAAATAATTGATAGATGGACTTAATTAAAATTAAAAACTTCTGCTTTCCCAAAGACAGTTCAAAGAACGAGGAAAGCTGCAAATTATTTGCAAAAGACACATCCATTTAAGTGCTGTTAACCAGTATAATTTACCAATTAAAAAAAAAATCTTTAAACTTAACAATAAACGAGTAAAAATATCTGGTCACCTCAACAAAAAAAGAAATATAGATGCAAGTAAGCACATGAAAACATGCTCAACATCATACATTATTATAGACCTGGAAATTAAAATGCACCACACACCTATTAAAATGCAAAAAAATTAAAAAATAAAAAAACTCTAAAAACACCAATAATATCTAATTGTTATGGGGCAGTAGGAAAGCTCATTCACTGCTAATGAGAGGTCAAAATGGTACAGTCACATTGGAAGACAGTTCAGCAGCTTCTTATAAAAGTAAATACACTCCT